TTAGATTATGGGAATTAATATTTCATATATTCAAGTGATAAAACCAACAACCTACTTCTTTAATTTTTAAGTCCAGCTTATGACCCTTTTTATTTTCGATATATCTTAACAGTCACCCTTACGAGGGCTTTATAATAATGTTTGGTCCCATTCACAAACTAAATTAATTAAAGGCCTTCAAACATTTTAAACTACATTTCTAAAACCAACACATCCCATCTTTCCTGGAAGTCTTTCAAGCTTTAGACAAAACTTCCAGAGCATTTAAGTAAGTTTATGTAATACATCCAAGTATACCACAATTAAACATATGATCGACATTGCATTCTTTCATATAATCTAGTATTGGATATAAACTTGGTATAACTCCTTCTTAAAAATCACAAACCAATTAAATATTTCAAGCTGAAGTCACAGGCTGTCCCTATAATAGGCAAAATTCTCTTAGAGATACAAGCACCTTAAATACCTAATGTATGAAGATTCTGCTTAAAAAAAAAATTCACACTGAGGGTTGGGCTTTTAAACATTTCTATTCTCGATTCTAAAATATCAGAATTGAAAGATGACTTTAGTATAGAAAAGCAGTGAGGAGCCCCCTGGCATTTAAATTCCGGCTTGGCCACCTACTAGCTGTAGACTTTGGGCACACCATGGACCCTCTCTGTGCCTCAGTTTCCCTATATGTAAAATGAGAAAAATAATGGTATCTACCTTTCAGGCTTCCAGGAGGATCAAATGAGTTAATATATGTAAAGTACTTAGAATCGTACCTGGAATGCGCTAATAAGTATTTCAAAAATTATTATTATTGTTATCGTGACTATCATTATTCTTATCCGTTAAGGAAGACAGTTTCTTTTCAATGAACTGAAATTGATTTTGGTGTGGACAGTCATTGGTTGGGTTCCCGCTGGCGACCCTGGTGAATTTCGTGGCCTTATTTATCATTCGTAACTTCTGGAGGAGTTGGTGGAGGTGAGGCCAGTCCATTCACATGACATCATATTTCCATCTACTCACTTCCTTCCACGATGTCTTCTTGATGAAATTTTACATTGCTTTGATTCTTAAGATCTTTCTAAGCCCAGACCTAACGGTGTCCTCCCTTTTCTCCAGGCCCTCAGGATCAAGTCCAAGTGCTTGTGCCCGGCACTCAATGGCATCGTCTTCCACTGACCTACATTTCCAGCCACGTCACCCATTTCTCCTGCCTCAAACCCCAGCCTCCACCCCCCAGGACGATTTGCAGGTGTTGTCACACCCCCAGGCTTTTCTACCTGTCATTCGCTCTATGAGAATGCCATCACCAGAACTTCTTCCTCTGGTGACTCAGATCCAGCCTCCCTGCTCCAGCCCTCCCAGTCCCAGCTCCAGCTCAACCCTGCACCATCGCCTCAACCTTCTCTCCAGTCCCCAGCTTCTAGTCTTTCCCCTCTGGTGTACCCTGTACCTGGCCCCAGTGCTGCTTCTGCTCACTACCCTTCTGGGGCTCCCAATTGCCCTCAAGAGAAAGTCCTAGCCTTTCAAGTTGGCATCCGAGGACTGTCGGGATCTGTCCCCTGCCACCTTCTCCCATCGTGCTTACCCACCCACAGTGGTGTCCCTACTCTCTCACCTCCCTGCATTCGCTGCTACAAAGGGAGTTTAGGAGACAGCTCCATCCGGAGGGCTAGCACAAGGTGGGGGCCTCAAGGCTTCCTTCCTAGAGGAGAGGAAAACATCAAATTGGGCTGTTAAAGGAGTACTGAGAATATCTGGGTTTCAGGGAGACAGAAGTGGAATCAAAGCAGAAAAGCATCACTCATAATAAAATTCACTCTTTATTGAGCACACAGTGAGCCAGGCGCTGTTCTACATACTTCACATGTTCAGAAACTGGAATCTTCCCAACAGCCGCTGCCTTATGAGGAATGTATTATCGTTATCCTAATTTTATAGATAAGAAAATCTATGCAGTGAAGGAAGGTACTTCCTAAGGGCACGTGGATAGCAAGTGGCAGAGCTGGAATTCCAGACTTGTGGCCATTCCTCTGCAGGAAGAAACCAAACTCTTGGAATAATCAGGAAGGGGAGCTGCTTAGAAGGGATTTTCCTGTGTTCTCTTAGTGGCGGGGGAAGAGCTTGGCCTATGTCCTCACTCACCCCAGCCATGCAAGGATGGTGCTGGGGTGACATCAGGGAGAATTTGTGCTCTTGTGTCACTGCCTTTACTAAGCATCAGGGTCAGATCCGGGCAGGTGGGGAGGGAAGGCAAGGTCTTGGTGGGAGTGTTCTGGAGCCAGCCAGTGGGGTCGTAGGCCAAGAGTTGGATGTCACATGTCAGGGTCAGTTGGCCTGAATGGTTTTTCGGATCCAATTGTTGTATCTACAGACGTTGGTGTAGACTCCTGGCTTCTCCTTTGAACCACAGGGGACGTTGCCCCACGATACAAGGCCTCGGAGGCGGTCTCCACATACCAGCGGACCCCCGGAGTCACCCTGCAGGAAAGAGGGAGAAAGTCAGATACGGAAACCCGCAGAGAGAGAGGGGAGACAGGGCCAGAGAGAAAGAGACACAGAGACATCATGCTGTTGGAGATGAAGTGAAAGACTCAGGGACAGGGAGAAAGACTGACAGAGACAGACAGACAGACAGACAGTGAGACGCACATGAAGGCACAGACAGAGAAAGATGGAGAGAGACCAAAGGAGACTCAAAGATGGAGAAACAGAAATAGGAACATCACGATCTAGAGAAGCATAGAGAGAAAAAAAAAAAAGAGAGCAAAAATAAAGGTTAAGAATGGAGACTGATTCTCCAGCTTGCTGTGGATTCCAAAAAAATGGAGACTGAGGCCTGGCTCCATGCCTATAATCCTAGCACTTTGGGAGGCCAAAGCAAGAGGATCACTTGAGGCCAAAAGTTTGAGACAAGCCTGGGCAACATAGCAAGACCCCAGTTCTACAAAAAGTAGAAAAAATTAGCTGGGTGCGGTAGCACTCTCAGCTACTCAGGGGGCTGAGGCTGGAAGATGGCTTGAGCCCAGGAGTTTGAGGCTGCAGTGGGATATGATGACACCACTGCACTCCAGCATGGCGACAGAGTGAGACCCTGTCTCAAAAAAAAAAAGAGAGACTGAGAGGTGTGGATAGAGGCAGAGATGCAGAGGGAGAGAGAGAGACATAAAATAATAGAACACAGAGAAAGGTAGGGAAGACAGAGCCCCAGGGAGAGATGTGCCTCCCATTGTTCTGTTCAGGGTCACTTTCCACCTCTTGTCCTGAGGACAGTCCTGCCTGCCCTTTCTTTGCTTCCAACTCTGTGTATCACTTTCTCTGTCTCTGTCTCTTCCCCCCTCTTGGCTGGTGTCTGCATGTCCTTCAATGCCTTCAAGTCATTTTGGCATAAGCAGGAGAGACTGGATGGATGAGTGAGGGAAACGCAAGCTGAAAGTATCTGGAGGATTAAAGCTCTTTCAGAATTTGTCTAGCACGTTTTCTGACTGGAAAACGTGCAAGATGTGAAAAAATATGAAAAAGAAAAAGCATTTGGGTGTGGGAATGGAGCCTGCTCTCTCTCCAGCGAGGGTCCCCCTCCTCCAGAACTGGGTCATTTCCAAGCAGGACTCAAGGGGGCTCTGTCTGAGGAAGGACAGTCCCCTCACGCCATCTGCCTCTTCACTGCATCTCTGGTTCTTGATCTCTCCGTCTCCATCTTTGTCTCGGCTGTTTGTGTCTTTGTATCTCTGCATGTCCCCGAGGTGTCTCTGTGTGTTCACTGAGTCTCTCTCCATTTTCCTGCCTCTGGTTCTCTCCCAGCTTGTCTGTCTGTTTCTGTGAAGCTCTCATTCGAGCTATGTCTTTCTCTTCCTGTCTCTGGCTGTGTGTTTGTGTCTCTGTCCTTGGCTGTGTAACGGGCAGGTCCTGGCTGCCTCACCTGGCAGGAATCCTTCCCGTGCTTCTCATCCCCAGCGCACACCATGTTTTGGGTGATCTGGCCGGGGTAGGCACGCTCACACTCCTCGCGGGGCACCAGGTGGATGTATGCACACTGGATGGTGTCAGGGAAATCACCTGCTGGGGGAGAGAGGGCCAGGCTCACATCGCCACGCTTCCCACATCCCCCCCTGCCATCCTCCAACCCCTGTAAGTCCTCTATCCCCTTTTGGTTCCTATTTCCCATTGGTTTCCCTCTTCCTGTCTGTCTCATTCTTGGAACACATTTCTGCCATCCCTGCCTCCTGATTGGCCCTTCTTCCCATCATTCTTCCCTCCCATTGGTCTGCCTTCCTCATTGTCTCTTCTCCACGAGTCCTCATTTCCTATTGGTTTCCCCTTTCGCTTAGGTGTGGCCTCCACTTATCTCTCTTCCACTGGTCCCACCTTCTTCAGTAGTTCCAGCTGACCTTTAGGACTTTCTTCTTCTATTAGTCCCTCCTTTGTTGTACCCTTTCTGCTCATTAATCCATCTCTTCTTGCCCATTAATAATCCTGATTGGTCACCCCTTGATCATTGTGTTTTCCTAACTAACCCCACCCTCTTCCATTGGCTCTCCCTGTTGGCCCTTCGTCCGATGGTCCACCTCCCTCATTGGTCCTTTTCTAATTGACCCCACCCTGCCCCATTTGTCTTCCTTCCTATTGGCCCGTTATCCAATGGCCCCTTTTCTTATTGGCTCTTCACTCACAGGCCCACCTCCAGTAGTTCTGGCTCATCTATTAGACCCATTTCTTCCTCGGACCCATTTCTCCTCTTGACCACTGACCCTTTCCCACTTGGTCCCTCTCCCATTAATGCTGCCCCATTTGCTCTCTCAATCCAGTCCTGCAGTTGGCTCCCTGCTCTGTTGGTCTCTCCTCTTCCATTAATTCTTCCTCCATTATCCCTTCTTCTTCCAGTCAGTGTATCCTGACCCGTCCCTTTGACCACTGGCCTCCCCCGTACCAACGTCATTCACCTGCTGGTCTGCTTCTCCACTGGCTGTTCACGTATTGGCCCAACTCCCAAATTTTCCTCCCTCCCTGTTGCCTTTTTACCCAGTGATACAGTGACCCCATGGTCCTCACGATTAGCCCATCCCACGGCCCATCACCTGTTGTCCCACCTTCACCTTTCCCTCTATCCTCCCCCTACTGACCGTCTGCCGTCTTGCCCCAGCCCAGGATGTGGCAACTGGTGTGGTTGGCGGAGCAGTCCTTCTCCAGGAGAAGGGGCTGGATGTGTTCAGAGAGCTTGGCCCGGTGCGCCAGGCGCAACAGCATGATGTCCTGGTCATGGGTGGCCGCATCATAGCCAGGGTGGGTCACAGACCGGACAACAGAGCTCTGCTCCTGGGAACTCTCCCTTTGCCGAAGGTTGTGCTTTCCCAGGTAGACTTGAAGGTTCCTGGGAGGGAGGAGGGCTGTGTCTCACCTGGAGCCCTTGAGCTACCGCTGAGGCTTCAGAGAGGGCTGGGGACTCACAAGTCACCCAGCCTGCTCCTCCCACAGTCTTCCCCAGCTCAATAAGGGGCAATTCCATCCTTTCAGAATAACCCTGGGGGCTGTTCTTGATCGTTTATTTCATGCCCCACATCTATACTCTCCAGAAATCCTTCTGGGTCTCCTAAGTTTATCCAGAATCTGGCCACTTCTCACCTCCCCCAGTGCTACCACCTTGGTTTGAGCAGCCATCAGCTCTTACCTGGACTAGAGCAGTAGCCTCCTCATTGGACTTCCTGCTCTGCCTCTGCTCCCCTATGCTCCATCCTCCACAAAGCGGCCAGAGATACTTCACCAACATAAGTTGGTCCTGTGCCTCCCCTGCTCAGATCCTTTCTATGACCCGCATCTCACTCAGAATAAAGGCTGACGTTCTCACCATGGCCACGAGGTCCTGCAGGCTCTGCCCCCATCGCCTTTCAGACATCACCTCCTCCCACTCTCCCCCTCTCTCCCTCTGTTCCGGCCACACTGGCTTCCTTGTCTTCTCACCCCAGGGCCTTTGCACGGCTGTTCTCTCTGTCAGCAACTCTGTCCCCCAGGTATCTGCACAGCTCACTCCCTCATATCCTTGACATATCACCTTCTCAGTGAAGGCTTCCCTGGCTGCCCAATTAAAATGCAAATACCCACCCCAATAGGCAATTCCCATCTCCCTCCTCTGCTTTTCTTCCCACCAGAGAATGTATCATCATCTGACATACTATGTATTTATTTTTAAATATTTACTCATTTTATTGTTTCTCCCTGTATAGCAGCAGTGCAGTCCACCAAAACTCTCTGCCATGAGGGCATGTTCTCTATCTGCACTGTCCAATAGGGTAGCTACCAGCCACAGCACTTGGAATGTGGCTCACAAATTTTTCATTTTATTAATTTCAATTTAACTAGCCACATGTGGTGGATGGCTATCAAATTAGTGCAGCTGTTCACTGTGAGGATTTTTGTTCTGTTCAGATACAGTATCCCCAGTGGCCCGTTCAGCATCCAATAGGTATTTGATACATAGTTCTGAAACAAATCAAAAGAGTCACTCCCTTGCTCAGAAGCCTCCCATGGCTACCCATTGCCCTCAGAGTAAAACTCAGGCTTCTCAGTCTAGCATCCGAGCCCCACTCACTTTCCAGCCTTATCTCCCACCATCTTCTGCCCTGCAGTGAACCAGTAACTTTCTTTGCTTAGAATACTCAAGACTGTTCTCACCTCAGAGGTTCTGTTCTCGTATTTCCTCTGCCCTGAGGCTCTTCCCCTGCTCCATGCTCTTCCCCTCCTCCATTCGGCTACTGTTTCTCGTTTCTCATGGCTCAGCTTGAAATGCATCTCAGCAAAAAGTCCTTCCTGCCCCTCGTCCCTCTAAAGTAGGTACCCCTATTCTTTTCCTTAGGGTAATTTGTGATGGACTTAAGGTGGTTTGTAATTATATGGGCTTTTGCGGGTTTGTTTCTTAAAGAACTGTGTGTCTGCACCTTTCTGCCCTTGTGTTCCCAAGGGCAGGGCCAGTGTGTCTCTCTTATCCACCGCTGAATCTCCGCTGCCCAACTCAGATCTGGCACTTAGTGGGTGTTCTCGGTCAATGTGCACAAACAAATGATGATGGTGGGAGTGATCCCAGGTTTCTCTGAGCTTGGGGGAGCCCCCCTGGGGGTCTTTGAGTCCATAACCCTGAATGACAAGGCCCATTCCCCCACAGTGAGGAGTGGTACCTACTGGTTTCCAAATCCTTGAGTTGTCCCTTGCCATTTCTGAGCCTCAGTTTCCTCACCTGCAAGAGTCCCTTGTTGTGGGGATTCCAGAAAAGGCATATAAACTGCTTCCCTTTGCACCTGGCCTCAAGTTGGCATGGAACACATGGCAGCTGCCGTTAATCTAACTAGCGATTGTTAGTGCCCCAGAGGTTAGTCCTGGGCCCTCCACGCTCCTCTATCCGTGCTCCTCTATCCTTCTTTTCGAATGATCTCATTGTGTCCCATGGCTTTAAATGCCGCCCGTTTCCCGACGGTGCCTTCATTTTTACCTCCAGCTCTGACCTCTCCTCTGCAGAGGCCTACCTGGCATCGCGGCTTGGACATCTCCCAGGTATCTCAAACTCACTGTGGCTAAAATGAAATGTCAAGTGCTTCTCTCCCCACACTCAGCCTGTTTCTCGTCCCCCCTTTCCCCCGACTCAGAGAAAGACGTGACCAAACACCCAGTTGTTCAGGACAAATACCTGGAGGTCACTCCAGCTTTTCTTCCCTTTCCTTCCTGTTCCTCGTTGCCGAGTCCTGCTGGCCCAGTATCAAAGTACCGCCCAAGGTGGTCAGCGTCCCTCCATCCCCACTGCCACCTCCCTGGTCCCAGCCACCCTGTTATGTCGTTAGATGACAGCGGCAATCTCCGTGTCCTTGACAACGTAAATCAGATCATGCTCCTTCCTGATCAAAACTGTCCGCGGTTTCCTACTGCACTGAAAATTAAACCCAAACTCTCCCATCATCTCCTATTCCCCCATGAGAAGGTAAGTCTGTGAAAATAGCAATTTTGCACTTTTTTCCCCACTGCTATATCCTTAGGACCTGGCACGTATTTAGTACTGAATTAAATATTGGCCGGATGAACCTGGGTTTTGCATGGCCTCCGAGTCTAATTGCACTCACTCTCATTCATGGTGTAGACTTACGGTTTTTTGCAGTGGGCAGCCGTGAGGACCCACAGTGGGTGGATGAGGACGCCGCCGCAGAGCAAGTGGCCCGAGGTGTAGAGGGCAGCTTGGTAGGGGTGAGAAGTCTCGCACGGCCCGCCATGCACCACCTTGTCCTGCTCCTCTGCCCAGGCTGAGGGAGAGGGGCTGTGAGTCGGAGAGGGCTGGAGACACCAGGCGCATCCCCCAAGGTGAACACCAGTCACCACCGTTCTTGCCCCCACACTTACCCCTTCCCCTTCACAAACCCAACCCCATCCCTAGCCTCTCCCCAATTTTCAGACCTACCTCTGACCTCTTCTCCACCTGGATCCTCATCCCCAGACCAAACCTACCCCTAAACTCTCACCTTCAAACCCACCTCCCGCCACCTTCTCCTTCTGCCTCCCCCACCTTCAACCTAGTTCCCAGCCTCTTCCTCCTTTCAAAGCCACCACCCTCTACCCACATGTGGCCCCCTCCCCAATTCCCCAATTCTAGTCTCTTCCCCATCAACTGGCCCAACCCCAGCTGCAGCCCCCCCCCCCATCGACAGGCCATCGCCCCCACCTGCAGCAACCAGAAGCAGCGCCGCAATCAGCTTCTTCATGACACTCCTGAGAGGGAAGCCACATGCTCATTAGTCGGTGCCTGGGACTCTGCCCCCTCCTCCTCCTCTCCTTCCTCCCTGACCTTGACTTCCCATCCAGCCTCCTGAGTTCTTGTTTCCCCACCCCCTCAGAGGGTCCCAAGAAGGCTGGTGCCAAAGAAAATCCGGAACTATGCCTATCGGTCTGGGGACCCACAGTAGATTCTGATTAAATCTTTCTATTTGCCTCCCCAGTAACAAGAGGGGGTGTGGGGGGCAATGCCCTTCCTCTCTCCGGGCTTTTCCTCTGCACTGTGGCTCTGCACCTGCCTTGTCACTCACCCCCACCTGCCGGTTCTGGGACGCCTGTGATCTTACCTGCTGAAGGCCGCTGCCTGCAGCGGGGTTGGGGAAGGACAGCTCCGAGACGGGGAGGCAGAGTCAGAAATGCAGGGAGCTGCGGGAGCGGAGGCCTCGGAAGCAACAGCGGAGCAGCCGGCGGAAGACAAGAGGCATCAGCACCCGGAGCTGCAGGGACTGCCAGACAGCCCGGCTCCCTGGTCTCCCTGAAGAGGAGGGTTCTGCTCCCAGATGCTCCCGGAGCTTCCTTTTAACCCCTGTCTCCCCAGGTCCCAGAGCCAGGAGGCTGGCCCCGCCCCTTCCCTCCTCACTCTGACCTCCCACACACATTCCACCTGCCCCACCACCCGTGATCTCTGACCTGAATCCTGGGGAGGGGCGCGCAGGTCCCTGATGCAGTGGGGGTCTGGACCCCTGGGTCTGGGGGAGGAGGGGCTGGAGGCCTGGACCCCTGGGTCTGAGAGAGGAGGGGCTGGGGGCTTGGACCCCTGGGTCTGAGAGAGGAGGGGCTGAGGGCTTGGACCCCTGGGTCTGAGGGAGGAGGGGCTGGGGGCTTGGACCCCTGGGTCTGAGGGAGGAGGGGCTGGGGGCTTGGACCCCTGGGTCTGAGGGAGGAGGGGCTGGGGGCCTGGACCCCTGGGTCTGAGGGACGAGGGGCTGGGGCCCGGGGTCTGAGGGAGAAGAAGATAAGAGCTTGTTCTCCTCAGTTCTTAGGCTTCTAGGTCCTTGAGAAAGAAAGTGTCTCAGGCCTGAAATGCCAGCCTCTGGGGCCAGCTAATGGTGCTCCAGCCTCCCCACATCCCCCCACCCCTCCCTGTGAGCACTCAGGGACCTGCGGACCTTCACTCCTAGCTGTGGAGCGCTCAGGCACTGGAAACCAGCCTGCCCAGGTTCAGTGGGGTTGGGGTGACTCACAAACCTGCCCTTGTGTCCCTCTGTGAGTGCTGACGACCTCTATGTCCCCAGGAGAGAGCAAGCCAGCCAGCTAGCGAGAGCGTGTGTCACCAAACGGGCCCCCACCCCTGCCCCAGGCTGGGGAGCGGGCCCAGGCGCGATGGGGAAAGGGGCCTGAACAATCGGGCTTTGTCTGCCCAGCACCCAGTGCCATGCTCCCGGCAGCTCCATTTCCCAACTTCTCTTCCAGGCGGGTGGCAGCTGCATCAATAGCTTCCTTTTGTCCCTGTCGTCAGCCCTGTTGCAGTCCTTTGACAGCCCACCTGGCCCTGCCTGGGTATTTCAGAACTCTTGACCGTCCTGGTCTCCTCCTGTCTGCCCCCCTCTGCGGTCTCTGGCTCCATGTGTTTGGGGGGCTCCGTGTCCCTGTCTCTCTTCCTTTCTTTCCCCCTGATGCTCTGACTCCTTCTGCTTGTCTGCTCCCAGGTCTTGTCCTCTCCCCCTAGACTTCCCAGATGAGTATGCGTGTGTGCAGGGAGGGCAAGCAGGCTGTGGGAGCCACTGAAGTGGGACGCACTGGGAGAGACGCAGAGATAGGCGGGAATCCAAGAGCGCATGGGAGCGACATGGGGTTATGGTGAGACATGGGGGTGCCGGGAAGCTGCAGAGGGATCAGGCAGATCTGGGGAGGTGCCTTTGAACCTGGGCCTGGAAAGCCGTGCCAGGCGTGGGACAGGAGGAGAGAAGGTATGAGAACGCCTGGCCCTTGTGGGAAAGGAGGGCGGTGGTTGGTGTGGGCTGGAGGGTGTGTGTGGCCAGGGGAGGGCCAGGACGAAGGGCGCAGTGAAGCAGGGCATGGGGGTGAGAAGGAAGATGGAGAGTTGGGGGGAGTCACGGAGGCTTAGAGGGGAGTCGTGCAATGAGACAAGGGCTGGGAATAAAGTCGACCTCAGCACCTGCTTGGGCTCAGCACCGCGGATGACCTTTTTCGTTTTCTTGCATTGATTGCCGAATCCCATCACCCCCCAGATGAAGACCAATTTGGCTCTCAACACACTCTCAGGACCGCTCCCCACCGCCGCCCAGGCCCTTCACATTTAACCCACCCTCCCCAGCCCGCATATGCATTAACATTTTCTAGTAGCCACAATTTTTTTCTTTAAAAAAAGCAAAAAGATTTTAAGTGTCCTTATCACCAAAAAGCAAGCATGTAAGGCAGGCATGTGTAAAATAGCTTGGTTTAGCCATTGCACGATATATACATGCATATGTCAAACATCTTGGTGTACCTCGGAAGTACATGCGATTTGATCCAAGTCAATTAAAACTCTAAAAAAGAAACAAGAGGGGTTAGTTCTAATAGTCCGTTTAACTCAATCTATCCAAAATATTAGCATATGAAATCAAAATAAGAAAATTAGTAACAAGACCATTTGCCTTCTTGTGTTTCGGCATACCGAGTGTTGGAATTCCCGTGTGTCATTCATGCCTACAGCTTGTCTCAGTTGGAACTGATTTCGAGCCATCGAGTGCCTTGAGCAGCCACCATGCTGCACACTGTATAAAGCCACCCCTCAAATGACTGTTCTAGTTCCAGGTTTGCACTGAGGTCATGGAGCACGCACACGCAGCATATGAAATCTCCAGTCCTGGATGAAAAGCAACACACAGCAAGTAGGACTTCAATCCACACAGCCAGGTGTGTAAAAACGTAGTTTATTATTTCCTAATTCAAGGTAAGTTCTGTTTTGAGCCCCAATTCTGCCTTCTGCAGGGGTAGCTCTGCCTACTCCTCTGTGTGTGCTCCAGCTCTCAAAATCATGCCACGTTTCCCTGAGCCATGCTATGCCCTCTTCTTAGAATGCCTTTCACACCTTTTCCTGACAATAACAACTTGTCTTTCAAGTCTTTGTTGGACATCACCTCCTCCAGGAAGACTTCCCAGAACACCACCCAACAGCCTCCACCTGCTGTGGTTGGGTTAGTCACTCTCCCACATAGGTTCCCACAGCAGGTGCCTCCCGTAATTGACCCTGGACCAGGGACACCTCGATTGACATCCCCCTCTCCTGCTGGACCGTGAGCTCTTTGAGAGCAGGCACCGGGGCTGACTAACACCTGTGTTGCAAGTACCCACATAGGATCTGGCCCAGAGGAGGTCTCAGGACAGGGTGGGGAACCTGCGGCCTTAAGGCCACATGTGGCCTTCCAGGTCCTTAAGTGCAGCCTTTTGACTGAATCCAAATTTTACAGAACTAATCCTTCTATTTTTATTAATACATTTTTGTTCATCTCTTCTACTTTTATTATATTTTAAAATGAATGTATGTAAAGTGCCAAAGAAAAAAATAAGTTGCAACAAAATAATCCTCCGGGATTGACTGGCACAATTGGAACATTAGTAATTCATAGGGCTAAATTGACGGCTGCTACACTGGTGATTTAGTTCTAACTTCCCTCGCCTGACTGGTGCCGCTACCACACCAGGCTGGTTGGCGAGAGTTTGTGGGGGTCAAGTACGCCGGTCTGCTATCGGCTTTTGACAACAGTGCACCGTGTCTCTGTTTGAAGTGGAATTTGTGAATAGTCGCACAGCTCCACCGTATTTTTTAATTCTGTCTGCTTAACAGCCCATCATGTCAAAGAAGATGAAGAGATCGCTGAAGGAAGAAAACAGATTTTTTTTAACGAGGGTTGACAATTGCAATATTGTCTTGTTTCTGCCAAGGATAAGATGATTCGCTTGCTTTGTGATACTACAATATCAACATTAAAGAAATTTAGTACTTATCAACATTTTAACATTCATAAGGACCACAAATATTTTAAATGAGAGGGAGAGGCATGAAAGGTTGTATTGCAGAAATGAAAAGATGAAAAGCAAAAGCAAAGACAGTTCTTTCACGCAGCAATAAGACCTAGAAATAATGCCACCGAGGCAACTTATAAAGTAGCTTACATACTTGGGAAAAAGGAAAGCCACTGGGTGATGCAGAAATTGTGAAAGAATGCATGTCAAAGTTGTAGGATGCTTAGACCCCAATCACGTTTCACAGTACAAACTGCCTGTTTCAAGGAGAACCATAGTTGATCAGCAGCATGAATTAGCCTTCAATGTAACAGAACAATTTCATGACTTTGTGCAATACTTCAAAAGGAAAATGTATACTATTCAATCGCTTGGGCTGAATCAACTGATCCTGCTGACTTAGCACAGGTTTTATACTTCATTCGTGTCACAACAGAAGATTTTCTTTGCTATTAAGAGTTACCCACTTTGGGCACTCTTGCAAACAGAACACAGGGAACAGATATCTTCAACAACTTTCAAGATAAATGTCATGAAGTTGGACTGAATTTGGTAAATTTAGTGAGTGTATGTACAGTGCACCTTCCATGACAGGAAAACACGAAGGGTTTATTGCACAGATAAAAAAAAAAGCATTAGCAGATCCAGATGCTCTCATTTCTTTTCATTGTGTTTTACATCAGCAAAATCTCTGTGCTAAAGCTATTATTTTAAGTGACACTTTGTAACAAGTTATAAGTATTGTTAACAATATTTGTGCAAATGCAACATGGCATCGTCAGTTTCATAACATGCTGAAGTTGAACTATGAGGTATTCAGCGTGGATTTGCGGTATTATTCTAAAGTGCGTTGGCTATCGCAGGGACAGGTGTTAGCCAAAATTTTATCTCTGTGAGAACAGATGGTTAAATTTTATGAAGAACAGAATCAGCAACATGAATTATGAAAAGAAGAGTTCTATAGGAATGCAGCATTTCTGTGTGATGTCATGTCAAATCAAAACAACTTGAATATTTCTTTGCAAGGTAAAACTAAATCTATGTATGGTACGTGGCAAAAAATCCAAGCATTTTGAAAAAAGATATCTTTTTTTCAAAACATTTCTTCAAAAGGAAATTTTGGATGAACATTTTTCCCAGTTAGCAAAGGTCATTGATGAGCAGGATGATATATGTGAATCATTTGAAGAATACACAGCTCTTATAGATCATTAATTGGAGAATATAATGAAAGTTTGACTGACTTTGAGAATCATCACATCAAACTCAAATCAGCATTTCAGCCTCACCTGGTCGATGTCACCGAGGCACCTAAAGAAGTACAGATGGAATTGATTGAGAACTCAGTAGATGACATTTTAAAGTCATTGTTTGATGCTAAGAAAGATCCAATCGAAATATGGAAAAATGCAGTAGAATACCCATGCCTTTGGCAATATGCCCCAAAAATGCTTTCTTGCTTTTCAACCACTTATTGCTGTGACTCTATTAACACACTCTCCTACCTAACCCAAACCAAGATGTCCTTAAGGCCACAAATGGCTGATACTCATCTGTGGACCTACATGCTGCAACCATATATGCAAATGTTTTCCAACAAAAAGCAGACACAACAAAGTCATTAAAAGGCTAGTTAACTTTAAAATTAACAAACAGTTTTCATTTTTTGAAATTGTTAAGTATGTAGCAGTCAGATTTTTTACAAAATAAGGTACATTAAGTGTTATCTAATTGAAGTTTCTTGTATGCGGCCTTATTTGATGATAGCTAAATTAATGCGGCCTTCCAACATGAAAAGGTTCCCCGCCCCTGCCTTAGGAAATGTTGACCAAAAGACTAAATGACTCAATTATATCCACTCTCATTCTACAGATAAGAAAACCGAGGGTCAGAGTGGAGGAGTTAATTGCTCAAAGTCAAACACCCAGGCAAGGGTGGAGCCTGAGTTGGAACTCAACTTCAAACATGGCGGTGGATGTGGCCCAGCTCTTGGTGATGCCACTAGGTCTACCTTATGGCTATACTGGGTGGGTGAACGTGGGAGGAATTGTTGAGAGCCGTGTGGGGACAGGAGGGAGGTGGTCGGCAGCAGGGAGTGAAGGAACTTCTAAGGGAGAGGATGACGTCCCTGACTCTACCCATTCTCCGGTGACCTTCGTGGTTTCGCCATGCCCACATGCCAGGGATGCCCATTTATGCGATATTTTTCTCCAAATTGACTTGCTCAGCAAAAGCATTCCATGAAGAAATTGTTTTATAAGGAAACCTCACGCGATCGTAAGCAAGAAAAAGTGCTAGAAGTCATAAACGATAAAAACCAACGCCCATTGAAGGCTTATGCTGTGCCGGACAACGTTCCAGTACATTCTGTGCATTCAGTTAAGCTTCCTAATGACCCTGTGACGTAGATGCTCTTTCTCCCATTTGAAGGATGAAGGGACAGGGATGGGAGAAGTAATGGCCTCAAAGGCAAACAGCTTGTCGGGGCCAGAACTGGGATTTGAACTCAAGAAACCAGATTCCAGAGCTAGTGCATTAACAACTACACTATGCTGTCTGCCCAAAGAAGAATTAAGTTACTTTTTAAAAATTTCACGAGTCCCATCTCAGTCACTGCAAACCAATCCACCTCTAGCTTATGTGTAGGAGGAGCAGAGGGGCAGGGCCAGGGACCTCCAGGCGGATTTAGTGCAAATGCAATATTTTGATACTTTTTAAGTTTTAGATTGAATACTGATTTGGGGTGGCTTGCAGGAGAGAGGGAAAGTTGATGGAGGCTCATGGGGATGGATGGCTGAAAATACTTGATGTTCTTTAAACTTGACATAGGCCCAGAGACAGACAGGGCTGGGAGTTAGGGCCCCTGGGTCTGAGGGAGGAGGGGCTGGGAGCCTGGACTGCTGTTTTTTGTGTGTTAGCCTCCTGTGTGCAGAGAGTCAGAATCAGTGACTGCAGAATTTCTGCAATATGATGGCAGAGGGGGGGTTAGGAGAGATTTGGAGGGGGATGAGATAAGGAGAGGAAGGATCCGGAGGATGGTGGGGAGGGAATTCTGGGAGAGAAACAGGAAAGACAGGTAGAGGGGTGAGTCTCGGGCTGGAGAGGAATCCCTCTGTCAGCAGCATCTGAGGTGTGACTGCCCGGAGAATCTCTGATGGCGGGTTACTGGGGGTGTAGCTAGGCTCTGAGTCACAGAGGCCTCCTCCCTCATCTCTCTTCCTTCCCAGAGGCCCCCTCTCTGCCTTCTTGGGGAGCAGGAGCCCACCCTTCCTGGTTCTCAGCGACTACCTTCCTCTGGCACCCGGGATGCTGATTGCTCACTTTTGGCAGGCCCTTGTGGGACCCAGGTGTTCTGTCTACCTGATGTCCTTCTGAAAACTTCCCCACTCCCTCCGTTTGTCACCTGTCAAGATGTTCAGAAACGCTTTCACACCCCTTTCCACCTTGATGAAGTAGGCTTATTCTCTCCTCCCTCCTATCTTCCCTCTCCCCCTCCTTTCTTCTCTCTCCCATTTTATAGATGAGGAAAACTGAGACCTGGAAAATAGACAGAGGCATGCCACTGGACAGGGAGGCAAGACCAGGCTCAAAACCAGACACATTTCCCTTTCTAGTCTCCCTCCCTCAGAGGTGTCCTCTCTCAGACCTTAGATATTCAGAGCTTTGCCAGTTTCATTTTCGAGGTTATAAAAGCACACGTCCACAGAAAAGTACGTGGAAGGAAAGAGACACCGCATGACTGGCCTGGGGACAATCTGGGACATGGCCTTTCAGATTTTATTCCGTGGATATTTCATTTTACATGGCTAGGATCACATACACATTTTCGTATCTTCTTTTTGTCATTTAACAGCATATAGGATAATCATTCTTGCATAACACTAACAGTTCTGCCTAAGTATTATTTTTAATAGATTCATAATACCCTTGTGCCAAACTGGTCTATTATTTAATTAATCAAATACTTTGGAACATGTTCATTATTTCCATTTTGGTTTTTTTTTTGCTGTGATGAATAATGTTGTGATAAATTCAAACCTTGCTCCACACTTCGGATTTTTTTTTTTTTTTTTAAGTAGGGTCTTCGCAGGATTAGTTCCTGTGTCAGAGGCGGTGAGTGAGGATTTCAGTTTATGTTGCCAAGCTGTTTTCCAGAAAGATTGTACGATTTTCCAGTCCCAGTACTTGAGGGTCTTGGTCTCACTGAATCCTCACCAGCACTGAGGTTTTGTATTTCTTTGTTTTGGTTTTAGGCCCTTGATAATTTCATTGGTTTACAAACAGGGCATCTTGATTGTTGAGGTTTTAATATGTCTTTGAGGAAAGGGAAAGTCAAATATGACTTTATAAGTCATCGACGTCCTTATTTCTGCGAATTTTCTGTTTGAAGCGCATGATTACTTAACTCTCGCTGGTGTATTAGCGATGCTTTCTCATGGTCTCGTTTATCCACTTGGTGTACTTGCAGACTTGAGTGTAGACACCTGGGTCATTGGGTTGGCCACAAGGGAAAGTTCCCCAGGACACCAGGCCTTGCAGGGTACCTTTGCACATCAACGGTCCCCCTGAGTCACCCTGGAAGGAACAGAGCAGGAAATTAGCTTTGGCTTCAGAGCAAAGTCCCTGAGCCCAGCTCAGTCTCATATTCATTCCTCAGTTATTAGTCTTTGTTCTGTCAGACCACGGACTTTCATCCCAGCCAATGAGAAGAGAGAGACTCATTGTCTCTGGGGGACCAATGGGAGAGCAGGAATTAGTGCTATCATGCAAAGGACAAATCTGGTTCTTTGAAGACATTGGCTTGAGCCCTGGTCAATGGGACCAATCCCAGAGAGGGGCAGGGCTTCCAGGATCAGGGCACAGGTTTACTTTCCAGTGTGAAGGACTTTGCTCCAAGCCAGTGGGAGAAGGAACATTATGCGGGGTGGGGAGGGAGCAATGGACGCATGCCCCCTTGCGCAGGAATGGGGGACTCCATGGTCTTGGAAACCAGGGGCAGGACCAATTACATCATTTAAAGGGCTCAGTGCAAAGTGAAAATTCAGGGATCTTTGTTCAAACATTATTAAGGCTTTCAAGACTGCCCGGTCCAGTGGTGTGCTCCTGTAATCCCAGCTGTAATCCCAGCTGTAATCCCAGCTGAGCCTGAGGCAGGAGGATCGCTTGAGGCCAGGAGTTCTGAGACCAGCCTGGGCAACATAGCAAGACTCCATCTCACAAAAATAAAAAGGAAAAGGGAAAAAGAAAAAGAAAGAAAGAAAAGAAAGAGAAAAAAAAAAAAGAATTTCAAGATGGCAACAGGAGTGTGTTAAACCAAACATGGGACCTTCTGAGGGGCTCTGAGTCACTGCAGAGCGTGCATGTTCAGGAAGCCCACCCTCCCAGGGGAGAAATGGGAATCCCCCAATTTTCTAGAATGAGCATCCTTCTCCCGTCAGCTGATCCCTAACTCACACCATCCCGCTTCCCCTGATTGCTGAGGGTGCAGATGTGAGCAAAGAGCTATGAGAGAGGGAGAGAGAGAGAAACACCAGCCAGCCCAACACAGAGAAGGAACAAAGAAAAAAGTGTGAAATAGCATGACATGAAATTTGACATAAAGAGAGATGTCGGACCGGGCGCGGTGGCTCACGCCTGTAATCCCAGCACTCTGGGAGCTGAGGCGGGAGGATCGCTTGAGCTCAGGAGTTTGAGACCAGCCTGAGCAAGAGCGAGACACCGTCTCTGCTAAAAATAGAAAGAAATTAATCGAACAACTAAAAATATATAGAAAAAATTAGCTGGGTGTGGTGGCGCATGCCTGTGGTCCCAGCTACTCGGGAGGCTGAGGCAGGAGGGTCGCTTGAGCCCAGGAGTTTGAGGTTGCTGTGAGCTGTGATAATGCCAGGGCACTCTACCTGAACAACAGAGCAAGGCTATGTCTTTAAAAAAAATTCAGAAATACAGGGGGATGATGACAAAAGACTAGGCAGAGGGAACAAGGAGCAGGAGGAGAGACAGTGCTTTCTCCAAGACCTGGACGAGGACCAGGGTCTGGAGATTAGGCATTAGCTTTGGGCACAAAATCTCAGTGGCTCAATAATTGCAATAAATAATACTTTGATGAAATACTTTAAAAAAAATCAACTGTAATACAAAAAGCTTCCATGGTGACACAGTATCCCAATTTTAAATAAAGACAGCGTCAGTGCAGTGCTGCCTGAGCCAAAAGGAAACTTCAGTAACTTATCTGCTCTTTATTTAAAACTGTGATATTTTGTTCATTGTGGACTTTTTGCATGAATCTTTAATTTATTTTTAAATATTACATTAAAATATAATATATTTCAATTCCTGAGATTTTTGGCACCTGCTTAAAGTTTTAAGGGGTCTGAGGCCAGGGCATCCCTTGCTCTCTGCTGGTCCCATCCCCACTCAACTCTCTGCCCATCCCAGGGCCATGGCAGCCCGTGGATAAACTCCTGCTAAGCCCTAGATGGGGTATTAGGCAGAGAGAGCTGAGGAGGCCGGGCCTGGGGGATGGCGAGGGCAGGCTCGGTGGTGCCTGGTCACTGGGTCAGGCTCTGTGCCCAGAGCAAGCAGACGGGGCACCCAGGGCTGGGAGAAAGGAGGTTCTCACATTGCAGGCGTTGGTCTTGGAGTTGGGGATGCCAGCACACAGCATGGAATTGCCCAGCAAGTCCTTGTAAACCTTCTTGCAGTCCTTGGAGGAGATGAGCTTGACATCCGTGCACATGAGCTCCGAGGGAAAGGTCACTGCAGGGAGGGGAGGGGAGAGCCGTCAGCCTGCGCCACCTGGGAACTGGTGGGGACAGGACGGTGCCTGAGTGCCCAAGGGGCTGTGGGGACAGGCTCTTGGGTCTGAGGGAAGAGTGGGCTGGGGGCCTTGACTGCTGGGTCACTGAGGCAGCCTACCATCGGGGCTTGTGGTAGTGCCCCAGCCAGAGACGGTACACATGGTCCCAGGGGGCTCGCACTGGGAGGGCAGGTTGACTTTTTTCACACTCGATGATAGCCTGGCCCGGCTATTGAGCTTCACAAGCATGAGGTCATTAACGTGAGTCTGCGTGGAGTAGCCAGGGTGGCGGAACGACCTTGAGGCCTTGATCTTCTGGGATTTGCTGTCGTGCAGCTTGTCACCACCCAGGTGCACGACGTACTCACTGCGAGAAAGAGCAACTTTCAGAGACAGACACTGTGACTGAGAGAGAGAGGGACAGAGACCCAGAGTGGGGGACAGAGACCCAAAGACAGAAAAACAGAATCCCAGTAGAGAGCTGGAGGTGCTGGCTGCACCCCGCCCCGCACAGCCCCGGGGCGGCACCTACTTCATCTTGCAGTGAGCGGCTGTGAGCACCCACCGCTCGTTGACCAGCACGCCGCCGCAGTGGAGCTGGCTGCCACTGAGCAGGGCCACCTGCCATGGGTGGGAGCCTCTTGGACATGGGACACCGCCAATAATCTTCTCCCCGCTCTTGTCGCCCTGGTCTGCATGGAGACATGGAGGAACGGGTGGGTAGCCTGCGCTGGGGGAAGGCTGAGGCGACAGCCCAGGGATTCCCAGAATCAGAGACGGAGAGAGACAGAGACAGTGAGAGATGGAGACGGAGAGAGACAGAGGGAGCCACTCAGAAACCCAGGAAGAACATCTCAACGGGGGCGATCACAGAGGTGTGGAGAGATGCTGAGCTCTGGAGACAGGGCTTGGAGCGGACAGAGACCCTGGAGCCAGCAGGAGCAGGAAGAGGGGCTGCGGCTCAACTGTCTGGTCTGAGGTCGGAAGCTGTTTGAGGAGGGAGGGGCCCTCACTCAGGGACTCCCTGGGGAGGGTCAGTGAAGACACTGGGAGGCCCTCACCTTGTGCAGCAGTTCCCAGGGCTAAGCACAGCGGGAGGATCTGCAGGGGCAGGAGCAGGGACCCTGCCATGGTGCCTCACTGAGCCCCTCAGAGGCTGCCAGACCAGGAAGGTTCCTTCCACCGGAGCTGGGGAGGGGAAAGTGTCCAGGTAGCAAGAGTCCAAGCCCCCAGCCCCTCCTCCCTCAGACCCTTAGGGAATCAGGAATCCAGACTCCGGTCGCTCTTCTCCCCAGGCAGTCCACATTTCTGAATCCCCAGTCCCTTTGTCCCTAAGAGATCCCAAGCTGCGGACCTCCAGTCCCTCACCTCTCAGGACCAGGAGTCAGCCCTCTCGCCAGCATCGCGCCTCCCAACCCCTGCCCCCAACACACTCACCCTGGAAAGGGCCCTTCTCCCCTGGGAGGGTCCGGTCTGATCTAGGCTCCGCACTCCACTGGGGCTCCGGCGGTCAGCTCCGGCGCCGGTGTCTCCAGCCCTCTGCAGGGCGGTCCTCTTATACCACCCCCGCGCCCGCCCCCAGCGCCCTGGGGTGCAGGTGGAGCCGGCTCTGGGACACCCCCTTCCTGTGTTGCGGTTATCATTATCTGGAAACCCTGAGGCAGTTGGCACCACTGTGCTCTCTCTCTCCACCCTGGCTCTGGTCCGGCGGCACCGGCTGCTTCACCCCCGCACATTCTGGCCCCGCGGTCCCTCTGGCTGCTCGAGGCGGGGGACCCAGGCGCGCTGGCTTGGAGAGGCAGGAGCAGGATTCAAGGGCTGGCGCGCTCAGGGCACAAGTTCTGGCCTGGGTCCTCCTCTGGGGCCGTTTTCTTGCCCTCATCCCCTCAGGGGGAGGGGCCGAGACCCTGAACCCTAATTCTGAACAGCCCGTGGGAATCGGTCTCAGCCGTGCCTTTGAGCCTGAACTCATTCCCAGCTAGTATAGAGGTATAAATTAAAAAGTGAATGCTTTCCCTAACGCCATACCACTGAATGCTTACTGTTATCAATTTAGTCACAGTCGATATTGTCGTATTTCATATTAGTCACATTTAGAACAAATGAATATGTTCTCGTAGCCATTTAAAATCATATTATATGTAGGTTTCTCTCTCTATATTATGCATTTATAACAAAAATGTCTGTACTAAACATTATCTAATGTAACTTTTTTTACTCCACAAAGTGTCTTGAAAAAATTCCACCCCCACCCCAAATTGGAGAGATGTAGGTCAAAGGATACAAAGTAGCAAATACGTAGGATGAACGAGCTGAAAGATCTGTACAACATGAGGACCATAGTTAATGATAATGTATTGTATTCAGCATTTTTGGTAAGTGAGTGGATTACAGCTGCTCTTCCCACAGGGAAGAAAATGGGTAACTATATAAGATAATGAATATGTTAATTTGTTCCACTAAAGTAACCATTTTACTATGTATATGTATCATATAACATCATGTCGTATACCTTAATTATGCACAATAAAATTTATTTTAAAAAAGAAAGAGAAAACTTTTTCCTCTTAGTACATTTAGATCATTTCTCCTTCCTTTATAACGGTTGTGTAATATTCCACACTTGTAGTTGTAACATGATTTATGTAATACCTCAAATTGAAGTGCATATGGGTAGTTTTAATTATAATAATGCTGAGATGAGCTCATTTCCACATTCATCTTTGCTCATTGTAGTCATTCAAAAAGTATCCCTTGAGCATAAACTCTGAGCCACAAACTGTTCTGTCTCTGGGGAACACGGCAGTAGCAAAACACATCCCTGCCTTCGTAGAGGTTCTTGTTCTGGGGGGTGGAGACGGTCAGTACAAAAATAAGTATATAAAATACATGGTTTCTTGGCTGGTGGCAAGGACCATGGAGGAAAATAAAAGCAAGGAAGGGGGTTAGGGAATTATTGGTTCCCGCCCCCCTCAAGGATCCCCGGAGTTACAATATTAGGAATGATGGCTGGAGAGACCCCATGTGAAGGTGACATTTGAGCACAATCTTGGGGGATCCATGTGGCTACATGAAGATAGTGAGTTCCGGGCAAAGCAAGCAGGCAGGCGTGTTAGACAAGGAGCTAAAGTATCCCGGCAAGAAAGCCACTGTGACCAGAGCTGAATGACCAAAGAGAGGGCAGCAATGAAGCCAGAAATACCATAGTACTAGGATGACACGGGACCTTGAAGGTGGGACCCATCGTCTGAATTACTTCAAGACAAATTCCTAAAATGGGAATTGACTTTGAACTCTAAATGAGACCCCAAAACAGGATTCATCCCTCAACCCTGAGTCCAAACTTTATCTCAATCCTGACCCTAACCCAGTTCTACCTGTGACCCACAGTGATAGACATTATTGTCACCTCCCCAAGCACTTACTCCTTCCGCCTTTCTAGCAGGGCCTCCGTTTGGTTTGGGTAGTGCTCTATGTTCATCACGACTGTAAGCTGCATTTCGCTTGCTGGATTAGTTGATAAATGGACGTGTGAGGCAGTTCCGGCCAATGAGGAGGGAGCAGAAGACCACTGAGGCACTTCTAGAAAAGATTTCCTTCTTTTCAAAAAGAGGCGTCCAGAGTTCCCTTCTCTTCTGCTAGATGGCATCCCCTTCTAGATGCAAATCCTGGAACTGTGGCAGTCCTCCTGGCACCATGGAGGAATGTGGTCCTGGACCAAGCCAAAACTCTGAGATGGCCAAACAGAGAGACCAGGATTAGATCTTCAATGCGGTTGAATTGGCCAACTGTGGAGCCCCTTCATCTCATGACTTTTTCAGGTTTCCTTTCTGGTTTACAGTGGTTTGGTCCTTGTAGCCAAAATCATCCTTTCTGAGACCTCAATATTGAATTCAAATCTCAATTCAGATCCCAAATCTGATCCCAAACCATAAATCCAAATCCAATTCTAACTTGACTCCATATCTTGAAGCCACATTAATAACAAACCCAATCATGCCTCCAGTCGTAGCTCTCTCTCCATCACTCATCCCATATCCCATTTCAGACCCAATCCTTTATACACTTGAGAAATATATGTTGGGTACCAACTATATTCCAGGCTAGGCTGGGTGCTGAGGATGCAATGGCTCATAAACCCAAATGGCGTCTCTTCCCTCAAGGAGCTGACAGTCTCATGTAAAAGAAAAATAATAAAATAATTCATGAACAAATGCAAAAATACAACTATACTGTGTGCTCTGAAGGAAAGGTGCAGGGTATTATGAAAGCATTTCCAAGGAGTTTTGACCCAGAAAGTGACAATGAGCTGAGTGTTGAGAAGAGTAAACATTAACTAGAAGAAAATGGGCAGAGCAGGGAGAGTATGTCATGTAGAGGAAACAGCATGTACAAAGGGCCTGAGATGGAAGGCGGAGACCAGAGGTTGATGGGACCGGACCATGAAGAGCCTCGTATGTCACGGTGAGTCACTTGATCCTGTGAACAATGGAGAACCACTTGGACTTTAGTCAGGGGAGTAACATAAGATGTATATTTTCAAAATATCACCCTGGCTGCTGTAAGAAGGATGGGTCTGGGGGAAAGTGAAGATATTGGGACACCATGGGGAAATCCTTGCTTTTGTCCAGATGAGAAATGCTGGTGACTTGGATAAAGGTGATTGGGAGGTAGAGATGACACTAAGTAGACGCGTTAGAAATGCACTCAGGAGGAAGAAGCTGCAGGCCTTGGCAATGGACAGGATGGAGGTTGTGGCGAGGTGGAGGGGATGTTATTAGACTTCAGAGTCTTTTTCTGGATATCTGGTGGTGCCGTTCATGGAGAAGGCATGGTCAGGCATGATCAATTGCTTCTGATAGGATGAGAAAGACCTCAGACCCTGACCTTGAGCAGAACTCTAACCTTTATTTGGCACAGCTCCCAACACCAATTGTGACACAAACCCCAAACACTAACTCATACCCAATCTTAAACCTCAAGTCCTGCTTTATCCTTGACCAACCCCAGTGTGTACCTCAACCCAAAACCTAAATCTCGACTGAGTTCCTGGCTCCCAATGTCAACTCAGGCCAGGACCCGGCCCTCAACCAACCTTGACCCTGACTCTTGACCTGAACCCTGAACTTCTAACCATAAGCCAAACTCAGCCTTGACGCAAGTACTGAATGTCACCATAACCTCAGTTCCAAACCTGCCCCATGTACAACTTGGCCATTAGTCTCCATCCCTGTCATATTGCAGGAAGCCCACACTGATATCCTCCCCATGAACCCCTCTCACATCCGACATCAATCCTAACACTCTGAACCCAATCCCACCCCTATTCTCATCCTCGACACAATTTCTACCTGAAAAACCATCCACGTTTCCATCCCCATCTCTTTCCTTCATTGCCTTTTAATTTTTCCAACTCCACACTCAATTTTGAGCCTTTGTTTCACACAAACTCTAAGATAAAGTCTGCCGGATAACAACATACTAATGTTGATGTCATATTAATTAAATTCAAGCCAAGTCCCCAAAACTTCTAAGATGTTTACTCTCATTGGATCCAAAATCAGATCCCAGAACTCTACACCTAGGCTCGCCAGTTCCCCAGCAGGACCCCAGCCTTCTGGAGTGTCAACCTTTCTCACTTTGGCTCCCAAATCAAGGAGAAGCATTCCCCAGCTCCCCTGACCTCCCAGCTCCATGACCCAGCAACCCACATCTTTCCTTCCTGGTTTCTCAAAGATAGAAATTGTAGTAGATAACCAGTTTGTTATCTACTGCCCAAATCTTCATCCCTGGATTCTCTCATCCCTCAGTCCTCTGCCTCCTCAGCAATCTGTTAAAAAGAGGAAGGAGCTATGCTACTCTGGAGCCCTGTTACTCACTCCTAAATCACCATAACGTCTATGCTGTGCTTTGCACTATCTGCCATTCTGTAAATTATGTTCTTAATTATTTAATCTGATTTTGTTGTTAAATACTGGTCTTCACATGCAGAGGAAATGTGTCTGGTGTTCGCTGTTGTTTTCTTCAGCACCCAGCCCAGACCAGAGAAGGGAACACAAGCAGTACTTTAAAAAATACTAGTTTGCAAACCTCTGGCATCAACAGATCCACCAGCTTTAGATTCAGTCCTGCTTGATCCCCAAGCTGTTCACTGCAATGGGGTGTGATAGAAACTTGGCCTCATGCGTCAGTCCAGCCCAGGTGTGAATTCCATGTGCCCACTCTGTGACTTTGAGTAAGTGACTTCATTTTTCTGAGTCTCACTTTGTCCCTTTCTGAAGTGGGAAGAAGCAAAACCTACGTCTCAAGGCAAATGGGGGGATTAAATAAAATTGTGAATGGAAAATTTATGAGCACATAACAGACCCTAAATTAATATGAGCACCCATTTCTTGTCTACCAACAGTGTGGTGTGTCAGGTGCTTCGCGGACCTTGTCTCTAGTCCTCACATTGGTCTAAGTGAGGGTTATCATCCTCATTTTGTAGGTGAGAAAATGGAAGTTTGAAAGAGATTAGATTACTTCAGCAAAGATACACAGCTAAGGAGTCAGAAGTATCAGAATTTGAATGCTGTGGATTCAAACGCCCATGGTATCGCCACTGCACAAACCCACACTCTGAGGAGGAGATTTCCCTGAGTCTCATTTGGCTTAAAACAGACTTGGAACCCCTGGGCCTATTAATGATGCATACCCCCACATTGGTGAGAGCCAGCCTGTGCCCTTTGGGTTTAGTCCTAGCACCTGTTGCTAAGTCCCACCCAGGCACCTAGCTTCATACCTTCCTCGCCCTCAGAATGATGTCCTGAACCTTTCTTTGCTTGATGATTCATCTTTAAGCTCATGATCACACCTGGGAACTGGCATCTAACTATCCTGCCAGCTATGCCTTGCCCTGAGGGATCCTGGGCACTGTGACCCTGGCAACGCCTGACTCAGCCCGTGGGTGCTGATGGCCCATTGTTTTTGACTTCCTGGATTCTCTTCCCCCTTCGTTTCAAGAGCAGCACCCCACTTCTTTCAGGGAGATGCTCCCTCATTTCCTATGGTTTTAGTGAAACTGTCAATAATAGTTCTTCAACCCCACCCATTCATTGGACCAAGCCAGTGAGATCACTGCTTTCTCCCCATCAACAATAATGGATCCAAGAGGTGGGCCCAGTTCAAGCTGGATCAGTTAGAGTTTTCCCTGGGGCTAATATCAAGGTGCTGGGAGAAAGGAAGTCTTTGTTTGTGCTGGGTTTGCTTCACTGTATCTGTCAGTAGCTGCTGTATTCCCTCCATGTAAAGAAGTCTGCCTATAGAGCCTACAATGAGATTCTAGGAGAAAAGAAGAGACATGCTGAGTGGAGCAACAGCTCACACCCATGAGAGAGAGAAACAGAGCCAGAAAGAGGAAGGCAGAGTGACAGAGAGAAAGCAGCAAAGGGAGACGGAGACATATGATTGACTGAAGTCATCATTTCAATACTTGAGGTTCGGGTACCCATGTCTCTTCTTCCGGCATCATGAACTACCTCTGCAGCTCTCCTGGTCACCTAAGCCAAAAAGTTCCCTCCTTTGTTTAAGCCAGTTTGAATTGGAGCTCTGACCCTTGTATCCAAGAGGCCCCTGGCAAGGTGGGTTCTCTCGGCCTTTATCTGTTTCTGATGCTCGGATCTTTTGCCAGACTCCACAGTCCATGGTTCTATTCCTGAATTGCTAGTTGACCTTGGATAAATCTTTTCCCTTCCCACACGTCAGCCAACATGCTCACACCCCTCAGTACTCAAGATTGACTAAATCAATCTTTAAGTCTTCTCTGGCTTATCTTCCTTTGGAGACATTAAATACCTTCTGGATGTCGGATGATATTAAGGAATTATCATCAACTCTGTAAAGTGTGATAATGTAAGTTGGTTATGTTTAAAAAAGTCTATCTTTTGGAGCAATGGTTGGCAAACTTTTTCTATAAAGGGCCAGCCTATAAATATTTTAGGCTGTAGGGACCAGGAGACAAAAATGTAGATACTTAATAACAAGAGAGAAAATAAATTTTCCTAATTTTTAATTTACAAAATTTAAAATATAGTAATAATAATTTAGCACAAATTTTTGTCATACAAGTCTACTAATAAGAAGAGTGGAATTAATTCTTTTCAGTGGATAGCATCTTGCTTAATTAGGGTTCCCTATGTCAATCAAATAGTAAAACTATTATTAGCTCATGAGATTTGGCCTACCAGCTGTAGTTTGCACCCCCTGTTTTAGAAATATATAATAAAGTATTGGCTGGGCACGGTGGCTCACGCCTGTAATCCTAGCACTCTGGGAGGCCGAGGCCGGAGGACTGCTCAAGGTCAGGAGTTCAAGACCAGCCTGATCAAGAGTGAGACCCTGTCTCTACTAAAAATAGAAAGAAATTAGCTGGACAACTGAAAATATATAGAAAAAATTAGCTGGGCATGGTGGTGCATGCCTGTATTCCCAGCTAGTCGGGAGGCTGAGGCAGGAGGATCGCTTGAACCCAGGAGTTTGAGGTTGCTGTGAGCTAGGCCGACACCACGGCACTCTAGCCCAGGCAACAGAGCTAGGCTCTGTCTCAAAAAAAAAAAAAGAAATACATAATAAAATATTTAAGAATGAGATGATATGATGAATGAGATTTGCTTTAAAGTATTCTAGCATTAGGGAAGTGTGTGGGAGTACAGGTGAAACAAGAATTGGTTTTGCATTAATTGTTGAAGTTAGATGGTGGTAAATGAGGATTCATTATGCTATTCTATTTTGCATATGTTTGAAAGTTTTCATAATAAAAATTATAAAACAATTCTTTGAGTTAGGATGTTCCTTAGGTAGCCCCTCCACAAATGCATCCCTGGCCTCAGAAGTTTAATGTCAGTCTTGAAAGACTTCCTCAGGATTTCTGGTGTTGGCAGACTGTCATGGAGGATGCAAGGCATCTCACACACCCACATCCCTTGTGAAGAATTGCCTTCTCATAGCCCTAGGTGGCCATGTTTTATATCACATGACTCTAAATAGCCACTGATTGGATAGGATTGGTCACCTGACCATAATGCAGTCAGACGATTGGCCATCCAGTTACCTATGATGCAGCTGAAGGAGACAGGGTGAGCTGGATCAATCAGATTCTTTTTCATGAGAACATAATCTGAGAAATCCCAGGAGAGTGACTATTTATATCCTTACAATAACTACCCTCCCTCCATACACGTCTTCGCCTAAAACTACTTATATTAATGAAAACTGCAAATGCCCTTTGCTTCACATTTCAAATCAGACTCAACATTCATTTCCTTCTACCACAGCAGACACCACTAGAGGGCTCTAAGCTGTGAGAAAGATTTCTAGATTTTTGGTGGCTGTCAAGATTTTTGGAAAAAAAAAAAAAGATTTTTGACCTGAGTGCAGGTTTCATGGGTGTTTGCTAATATTTAAGTTCTTCATATATTTTCTGCACTCTTCCCTATGCATATCTCACTGTTTCTTTTTAAAGGCGGGTGGGAATCTCCCTCCAAAGTCTGTAAAGACTTTAGCTGCTTAGAAAAATTAAACAAAAACCTTTTCAAAACTGTCTTTCACAGACCATGCCACTGGACGTTTGAAAACTCTTGTGTGTCTTCTCTTTCCTTAGATAAGCCTCTCACTCACCCAATACTTCTAGAAAAAAGGGGGGTTGCTGCAGGCAATGGTGATGGCCAGAGTGAACATGGGGTCCCAGTCTCTCCAGATGCCCACCAAGCCTTCCCCCCATCCACCCCTTCCCACAGGGCCAAAACCAGACAGGCAAGGAGCCAAGCAGAGTTGCGAGTTTATTCAGGCAGATGCAGGGCTCATTTTAGGATTAGCCCTTGGGGCCCATTGTCTTCTTGATCCAGTTCAGGTAGCGGCAGATGTTGGAATAGACACCAGGTTTATGCGGCAACCCACAGGGGTCTGAGCCCCAGGATGTGATGCCCTGGAGTACACCATCGCACACCAGAGGGCCACCAGAATCGCCCTGGAGAGGGAGAATGAGAAGGGGGCTTCACCTAACATGCTCACAAAGTTCCTTTTCCTGCTATATCCAGAGTATTTAATACCAGTTCTTCAGCAAGATTAGCTCCCTCTAGCCAATGGAGATAGGAGAATGGTCTCCTGAGATTAGTCAGGAGGGGGTTTGGGTCCTCCATGCGCACAAACAGACAGGATGTCTAAGGGCAATGGTCAAAATCCTGACCAATTAGGGAAAAGGATCAGTTCTCAAGGGTCCAGCCCATTGAGAAGACAGTGGAGATTACATGGAAGTGACTGAGCTGACGTTGCCTCCAATTCCTGGCCAATAGTGAAGAGATCATTGATTCCAGTTACCAAACACAGGACAAAGGCTCAGGGTTCTAGTGAGACACACACACAGTCACACACAACAGGATGGTGGCTGAAATCTTTGTGAAGGAGACCACTGTCTCTATGGAACAATCCAGGGAGATTGGCTTTTGTGGTAGTATCACTGATGGACATGACTCCATTCTTGGCCAATGGGGAAGAAAGCATTGTCTTCAGGGACCAATCATTAACAAAGGGGGTGGGTCTTACATGAAGGGACAAAGCCAGGGGGAGCTCCAAGGACAGCAGACTGGAGTTGCACCCACAGGAAAGAGCGTTACATCTATGATAAATCCCAAGACAAGGGAATGGGAGCTCATTGAGGAAACATTGAAGTCAATGGTGCCATTCCCCAGCCAACTGGGAAACCAGCATTGCTCCTCAAGGAACAAATCACAGGAGAAGAGAACCATCCTTGGGAACCCAGTCAGGTCTCAAGGAAAAGTGGGTGACTACTTGGCCAGTGGTAAAGTCGGCCCAAATTCCAGGAGGTAACACTGGGAAAGGGAGCTTGCCTACCCTCTAGCCTTAGACTTTATTGACACCTCCCCTCATCCTCTATAGCCTCCCTCTTTGCACTCCATCCTGCAGGCAAGAGTTCTCAAGAAAATGACAGTGACGAGTCAATGCTCTTGATCCCTATGCGGTGGGACCTTGAGGGAGAGTTTGGCCTTCTCTGAACCTGGCTCCCATTCTGCAGAGATGAAGGCGACCTCCATGGATACTAACTCTTTGAGATCAGCCCCCCCACACACACACCCCAGCCAAGCCTTCAGCCTCTAGAGTGGCGTGAGGGAGGAGGGAGGAGGGAGGAGAGAGGAGGGAGATTTCAGAAGTCACTCACCTGGCACGTGTCAGCCCCATTGCTGCTGCCAGCACAGACCATGCTGTCTGTGACCTGCCCTGGGTAGGCGTCCTCACACTTCTTCTGGTTAATGATATTTACTTTTGCACAGTTGAGGGTGTCAGGAAAATTCTCTGAGGGGGGAGAGGTTGTAAGTTCCCTGACAGAGCAACCCTTTGCCTCCATCCCGGTCTGGATCTAACTTCTCTACGGTCCACCCACAGCTGCATGGGGAGTTTTCTGACACATTTCACAGGGCACATCGCTTCTCATCAGTTTTTTTGTTGTTTTTTTTTTTGAGACAGAGTCTCACTCTGGCACCCCAGGTAGAGTGCGGTGGCATCAGCATAGCTCACAGCAACTTCGAACTCCTGGGCTCAAGTGATCCTCCTGTCTCAGCCTCCCAAGTAGCTGGGACTACAGGCATGCGCCATGACGCCCGACCAATTTTTCTACTTTTAGTAGAGATGGGGTCTCGCTCTTGCTCAGGCTGGTCTCAAACTCCTGAGCTCAAGGGATCCTCCCCACTTGGCCTCCCTCCCAGAGTGCTAGGATTATAGGCGAGAGCCACCGCGCCCGGCCACTTCTCATGACATTAAACAAACCTGTGCCCTCTGCTACTTGGCTTTCTCCATCTAGAGAGGGGCCCTTGGATCTCACATTTTTTTCCTCGCCCTGAGTCATTTTCAAATCGAGGGGCAGAGGGGACTTGAAGATGTCCCCTTATGACACCTCTGACCCTATCACTCCAGTCTTCCTGCCCCTCAGACCACCAGGTCCTCAATCTCTGCAAATTTCTACTCCTTCTAAGTGTCACCTCCTCCTAGAAGCCCTCCCTGAGCACTCTAAAACACCACCCCTCCATCACTCACTATCCTTTTACCCTCCACAATAGTTCACTATAGCACTTAACTCTACCTAATATTTTATTTTACACGCATTTGTTTATTGTCTATTTCTCCCGCCTAGCTTGCAACTCCATAAGGACAGGGACTTCTTATAGTTCGTAAATCCTGTAATCCCCAGTGCCTACAACAGCACCTGGGGCATACTAGGTGCTCAATAAATGTGTTGTATTAATGATTGAAAGTAAAATTAATCTTTCTTATTAACTTCCTTTGAGGAATAGACTTGTGGGGGAAAAACTTCCATCTGGCACCTCTATATGCCAGAAGCTATACACTCACAGTCTCACAATCACATGTAATCCTCACAATAGCACTTCGAAGGAGGCATGCATTCACCCATTTCATTATCCATTCATCTATTCAACAAATATTTATGGAGCACTTACTGTGTACCAGGCACCATCCTGAGCACTAAGAACACACAATGAAGAAAATAAATGTAACCCGAGTCCTCATGGAGCTCAAAAATCTATTGAGTAATGATTCTCGTTTTGCAGATGAGGAAAGTGAGGCCAAGAGATGGAAAGGGGCTTGTCCAGGGAAATGCGGAAGTGCCGTGGTTTGAACTCATCTACCCCACTCGTGAGCAGGTGTGTTTCTACAGCATCACACTTTCTCATTCGAAGTAGGAGTCGGACAGGTGGGACACGAATCCTGGTTTTGCCACTTCCTGAAAAGCCCACTGCCTCTCTGAGCTCAGCCCGTGTTTTCGCTGTGGAGTAGGGTGAGGGGCTGTCTGGATTCTGGAGTCCCAAAGGGAAAGCTTCAATGGAGGTCCAGAGTGAGAAGGGAGCTGGGGACCTAGACTGCTGGGTCCTGGGGGAGGAAAGCCTGGATATCTGGGTCTGAGGGAAGAAGGGAGCAGGGCTCAGGTTTCCTGGGTTTAAGAGGAAGATGTCTAGGAGCCTGTTTTCCTGGGTCTCGGAGGAGTCTGTATATCACAAATCTGTTGAGAAGATTATATAAAATCCTATATAACAAAAGCTCTCGTAGAACGGTACTCTCCACCATAAAAAAGGGTTTCTTCAAGCTCTGCTTAATAATCTGCTAGTTTGCTCTCTTTCTCTCACCACTCCTGTTTATAGTCTGGCCTTCAAGGTTTCTAACCTGGGCCCCCTGTGACTCTCAACATCATAATCTCTTTCCCTTCCTTGTCTCCTCCTGGGGGACCAAGTTTTGCCAATGGCTTGGGGTCCACTGGGCCAACCAGCTCCTCCTCTCCCTCCCAGGAGAGGTTAAGCCCACTACCTCGGGGACTGGTGACCGTGCCCCAGCCTGAGACAGTGCACTTCTGGCCAGCTTGGGGGCAGTGATCTGTCAGGTTGATGGGCTTCACTTTGGGCCCCAGGGATGCCCGGCCACGTAGTCGAAGGAGCATCAGATCATGGCTGTGGTCGTCATTGCTGTTGTTGTAGCAGGGGTGTGGGATGGACTGAAGCACAGACATTTCTTGCTCTGGCCCATCCTTACTCTGCAGGCTGTGGTCTCCCAGGCGTACTGTATACTTCCTGTAATTGTGGGGGTAGTTTGGGACCCAGGCAGGAGTCCAGGTCCCTAGCCTCCACCTCCCTCAGACCAGGAGTCCTTCGTGCTCTCCCTCCTGAGTTGAAACCCGAGCCCCCTCTTTCCTCTGGCCCAACCGACCTCTGCCCCAGCCATCCACTCACGGTTTTTTACAGTGGGCAGCTGTGAGGACCCAGTTGGCGCCTACAAGGACCCCTCCGCAGAGCAGTTGCTCCCCTTGGAACAGGGCCGTCTGCCAAGGCTGCGAATGCGGCGCGCACTCCTGACCCCCCAGCACCTTGTCCGTCTGTGCCCTGGCGCGTCCTGCAGCAGGAGGGAGAGCGTTGGACCGCCACCCTCTGGGACAGTGCCAGGGCCGGGAAGACCACTGTGGGTTCAAATGGACACACCACAAGTTCTCCGCATGCACCTTCACGCAGGAAGCCCCGGCGTACACTCGTTTAAGCCCATGAGTCATCGTACACGAGACACACCCCAGCACACTTCCACATGCTTCCACATGGGCACCTGTGCCCTCCAGCAAGCAGCCCCCGCAGGCTTTGTGTACTCACAATTTGCAGGACAACTGAACCCACTCCCGCCTGCCGCCACGTGTTCCTTGCCTCCACCCACCCTCAAGAAAGCTCACCGAGGCACCCACTTACACCACGCACTTCGCATCCCTGCCGCGCAGCACCGCACCCCCCCACATAAACACCGCGGCCTTCCACAGGCTCCCACCGCTGCCTGCCGGCTCCCTCCCCTCGGGGTCCCCCCACCCCCCTCACCTGTCCAGGCTTCCCACAGCAAGAGCAAAAACAGCCAGGTCATCACTGAGCCAGGTGGGGGGCGTCCCATGGCGAGGTCTGGGAGCGGGAGAGGACGGGGCTGAGAGACAGGAAAGAGGAGCTTGAAATCCCAGTTCCAGATCTGGGGCCCGGGGAGGGAACAGAGAGCATCCACAGCTGTTCTGCGTTCTGCAGGAGCGAGGAGCTGGGGGCCGAATTCTTGAGTCTGAGGAGGAAGGGGACAGGGAGCCCAGATTCCCGAACCTAAGGGGGGCTGGGGGACTGGAGTCCTACATTCCAAGGGAGGAGGGAGTTAGGGTCCCGGACTTCTGGGTCTGAGGGGACAGAGAGCTAGGAGCTGGGACTCCTAAGTCTTGGGCAGGAGGAAGCTGGGTTCTGGGTTGCTGCGTCTTTAGGGAGAAGAGGATCTGAGGCGGGGGTCCCGGAACCTAGAGAAGGAGGGGTCCCCGGGCCTGATGCCTGTGTCCCAGTACCCCTGCACCTCACCTTCCGGAATCCAGGGGGCGGGGTCACCTACTGATTCGGACCCAATGGAAGAGGCCCCAGTACTTGGGTTCTCTCTGCCCAGCGCACGATTCTCGAGCCTTTTAACTGGGAATGCCCGCCTCCTGCCCCTCCTCCTCCTCCTGCACCGGGCCCGGAGCACCTGGGAACTGGAACCCTGGGTGTGAGCGAGGAGGTGTGGAGGGGCTGAGCGTGAAATCTTGCGGGAGGAGGGCCTGGAGTCTCAGATTCCTGAGGCGACACAGAGGGGCTCAGTGCTGTGACTCCGGGTTCTGAAAGAGCTGGGGCCCCTGGGTCTGAGGGAGGAGGGGCTGGTAGCTGATAATTGCTGGGACTGAGGGAGGGGTCGTCTGGGGGCTGAATTCTTTAAGTCCTTTTGGAAGGAGGGGCTTGGAGCCTGATTTTTGTGGTAGGAGGGGGCTGCTGCCAGTAACCGGAACGGAAGGAAGGCGGGTCTTTTTGGTTCCGACACCTGAGGGTGGATCGGGCCCCGCCCGCTGCCCCCTGAAAGGTCGGGGATCTGGGAAGGCAGGTTTGGGAGGCACCGTGACCTGGTTTCCCCTTCCCCTGGAGGCGGCGGGACCAGCCCAAGAAGAACCCCGGAGCCTTGCCGCAATGGGGCTGGTGGAGAGAGACTTCAGGCAGGACTTCCTAGAGGGTCAAGGGGGAATTGCGACGCGGTGGCGGGTCCCTCGTCTGCCCGTCACCGCCCAGCCGTTGCCCTCCTTTCGTCCCACAGCGCAGGCAGAAGGAAGGCGCAGCTCCTCGCGTTTATTGCAAAATCATCCATTGGCTCTAACAGGATCGAGACCCTCCCCCAACTTCTCCCAGTCGGGTCCCCGCCAGGATTCAAACCCAGGTCACGCCCAGGGCGGGGCCACCAGTGGAGGAACCCGACACGGCCAGGTTCCCACGTGGGCGGAGCCACCGCGCCCCTGACATAGTAGGGGGCGGGGCCTCTGACAGAGGGGCGGGGCCTCGAGGGGTGGAGTCCAGGAGGGAAGTCCCACTGGGCAGAGTTCCGAGGGGCGGAGCCACAGGTTGCGCTATTCCGGGAGGGCGGTGCCAATTCTTGGTGACGTCACAGAGACCGGGACACGCGAGGCGAAGGCGTGTCCTTGTTCTGCCTGAGGGGGCGTGACTCCATCGCGGTCGACCTCGCACGTGCGGGGGCGGAGCCTCACTGTCCACAGGGCAGCTGGAGGTCAAGCGCTGCAGTAACCCCCCACCTCGCGCCCACCCTCCTCTCTTGGTCGTCTGAGGCTTGAAGGCTCAGTTGTCCTCCATGGTTTTTCGGATCCAGTCCCCGTAGTGGCACACACTGGTATAGACCGCGGGGCGCCGGGGTCTGGAGCAGGGCTCCGCACCCCCGGACACCACGCCCGCCAGGGTTCCATCGCAAACCAGGGGGCCCCCGGAGTCGCCCTGTGCGCAGAGAAGAGCAGAGGAGCTGTTAGGCGGGTCTATTCATGACAGTAATCCTTCCCAGGAAGGCCCCAGCCTCCTCCTCCCAGCACCCAGGAGTCCCGACCTCCAGCCCGCTCCTGCTTTGGATCAGGCAGTCTGGGCCCCCAGCCCTCTTGCCTTTTACGGACAGGAGTCCGGGCCCTGGCCCTGGCCCCATTCTCTCCCATTCCCCTCCTCACTTTGACCCAGGAAGCCTGGGGCCCCAGCCCTCTCCTCCCCAAGACCCAGGAAAGTCAGCCCGACGGCCTCATCTTCCCCAGAGTAGGGGCTCACCTGGCAGGAGCCTCGGCCACCCTCCCACAGGCCTGCGCAGAGCATGCTGTCCGAGATGTGGCCTGGATATGCCCAGCGACAGAATTTGTTCTCCAGGATGCTGATGTTGGCACATTGCAGCGTCACTGGATACAGCGCTGTTGAGGAAGGAGATCCACAGGGCCATCAGCAACTGTCCCCATCACACTCAGACGCCGCCTCCCTGAGCCCTCCCTGCAGCCTTTCCAAAGGCGGACCCAGGGGGCGAAATCACAGGACTCTCAAAGATAGAGACAAGAGACTGTGACAAAGAGACAGAATCGTAGCATGCAAGAGAAGCAGATGGAAATGCGGAGGGGAGAGGATCAAAAGAAAGAAACAGAAAGCTTTACAGAGCTGAGACAAGAAGAGATACACTCATACTGAAACGCGGAGAAAGACAGAGACCACAGAGGGAGACAGAGACCTCTTAGAGGAAAGAGATTCGCAGAGGAGATAATAAAGAAATAGGGAGGAACAGACCCGTAGACATCAAGGTGGGGAAAGGCAGTGAGATACAGGGGAAAACAGACATTTGCAGGAAGGTGGTCACTGACAGACACAGGGACAGAGACATAGAGACACTAGACATAGACAGAGATAGATACCGCGTTGCCAGCAGAGATGTGATACAGACATACATTTACGCATCTGTGTGAGATACGGGCGCAAACTCAGATGTATCATGGGAATCGATAAGTACATAGAAGTGGGGGAGGGGACTGGGCAGGGAGGCATCAGCTGACGGGGTCACCTGGAGCGGACCAGAGAACTCACCTTGTCTGGAGTGGGCAGCCTCTACTGCCGCTGTCTAGTGGTTGCTATTTTGGGAATATAGGTGAGTTCTTCCAATTTTTCAAGTGGATCCAGAAACCTGGCTTGCATGTAAAACCTCCCAGGTTTTAGCTATTGGCAGCAACAAATTCAGACTGTTTTTTCAAGATACCTTGAAAACTAATTTGGCTAATGGGTGGCTGATTTGTGCCTCTAAGAGACATAGGCCTTATTTAGATTCTAAGATGCGTGTATTTTCACATTTAGCCATCTCTGAAATCAGGATGTGTCTTCCAGTAAATGGCGTCATACCATCAATGCGACCTTTTTTTTTCATTCCTAGTGGTTCATAAAATAATGATGCAACTTAAAATTTCTAGCATCTTAGATTTGATGAGATATGCTGATTGGTAGAGAGCGAGAGACAGACAGACAGTGGGGAGGAGAGGAGTCAGACCCTGGGCATGAGACGTAAGGGAGTGCCATGGATGAAGTCGTACCCTTGGGGCTGGACACGGCGCCCCAGCCTGAGATGAGGCACTGTGTGCCCGGGGAGACGCAGGTCTGGCTGAGATTGAGGGGCTGCACAGCGGGACTCAGCTGTGCCCGCCTGGGCAGACGGATTAGCATGATGTCATCATTGTGGTCATTGGCGCTGAGGTCACTGTTGAACCCAGGGTGGGGGAAGAAGTCTGTGGCCCGGAACAGCTGCTCTGGACCTTCCCATTTCCAGAGGTGGTGCTCTCCAAGGCGGACCCACAGATGCCTGCTGGGACATGCCTCAGAGGTCAAGTTGGGGGAAGATAGGGGTCTTCTCAGACCCAGTCCTCTTTCTCTGTCCATCAGGGTGCTGAGTGACCCTCTGCAAGCTACACACCCTCTCTGGGCCTCCATCATCTATGTCTAACCCAGAGTATTGTGTGATTTTAAGCAAGGCACACACCCTCTTTGGGTCCCTGCTCCCCACTCTGACTTTTTGTCTGCCCCTTGCATTGTTGTAACCCTCCCCCAAAAGCTTGCATCCCCTCCTAGCCCTGTGCTGAGTGAGCCACCTTCCTCCCTACCCCACCTGGATCCTTGGTGGTGACCTGGGTTCCCTGGAACGGTGTGGGCACTTGGGGGCCCCACCTACTACACAATAACAGCCCCACCCCATGTCCCCACAGGTCTGGTGGCTTCTGTGGGAGTGGCTCTGTGTGTGTGTTTGGTGTGTGTGTATGGGGGGGATGGAGCATGGAAAATCCCCAACCTGGGGGTCATCTATGGCCTCAGGCTTTTCCGGTCTGTCATAGCCCTCACCCTGCAATGCACTTTGTCCTGAGGTCCAGGCTGAAGCCCTCTCAGGGCAGTCCCAGCCCACTTGTTCTGCTCCCGGTCCATGTCCAGGACAGCTGGGGACCCATCCCCTGCCTCTGACCTCTGACATGAGGCAGCAGACTAATGACTGAGAATTCAATGTCTAGGGAGTATGAGGTGTTATTTCTAGCTCTGTCCCTCTCTGTCACCCTCATTGTCTTGGCTCTGGGTTTGGGAAGGTAACCCCTGTCCCTGCCTCTGAATCTCTTCTAACTCTGCATCTCTGCATCTCTCCTGCTTTGTCTTTGTGCTAAAATCTAAACATTGTTCTGCCAGAGTGATATACAGGCCTGAGTTAAAAGAGTTCCCATCATGGAGTGATGCATGATGGGAAATTCCCACAAAACATCTCATACCAGCACCTGTGCGTTACTCCTGGAGGGCAGAGTATTGGAGCGGTGTGGATGGTCACTTTTCAAGGGTAATGTAGAGAAGATTCCCGCATCAGGTAGATTCTAGGATACTGTCAGAATGCCCAGAATCTAAGATTCTAGAATTCTTAGATTCTGACACCCTATTAGCCATGATTCTAGAACTCCATGAGGCTCAAGTTCTAAATTCTTATGAGTCTAAGACTCTAACATTCTACATTTCGCTGGATCAAAAGAAAAAACCCAGTATTTTAAAATGATTTCAATTAAGTCTAAGACTTAAAGAACCTGGAATTCTAATATTCTGGGATGAGAAAATTAGAATTTTATTATTCTAGAATTCTGTACATCTATAATTTTAGAAATTTGAGAGTCTGGGATTCAAATAGTTTAAGACTCTAGAATTCTCTGAATCACAGTATTCTAGGATACTGTGAGTTTCAATATTCAACAAACCTAGAAAACTCTGAATCTAGGATCCTAGGATTGCACCAGCCGATACTGCTATTGAGCACTTGAAATGTAGCTCGTCCAACTTGAGATGTGCCCTATGTATAAAATACAAGCTGGATTTCAAACGCTTAGCGCCAAAAAAAGAAAGTGAACTACATTATTCATAGTTATTTAAAAACTGATTACATGTTGAAATAACAATATTGTGAGTATGTCAAGTTAAATCCATTATTAAAATTAAATTTGCCTGTTTCTTTTTTTTTAATGTCTCTGCTAGAAAATGCAAACTTACCCATGTAGCTGGTGTATGATTGCATTGGGCAATGTTGATCTAGATTGCTAAGATTCTAATAGTCTGAATCTATGATTGTAGCATTTGCTAAGGCTACTGAAAAATTTCATGGATTCAAAATTTCAAGATTTTAGGATTCTAGATTCTGGATTTCTCTGGGTCAATCTAGGATTCTAAGAGTCCAAGTTTCGAGTCTTAGATTGTTAGAACCAGATATGTTAGCACGCTAGAATTTTAGGATTTGGGAAGCGACCCTTTGAAATCCTAGGTATAAGAAATAGAGGCTCCGCACTTCCTGCCTACAGCCTCCCTCACCCTCTCCTGACCCCAACCCGCCCATTCCCGGAGTGGCCAGGCCCGGTCACTCACGGCTTGCGGCAGTGGGCAGCTGTGAGCAGCCAGCGGTCACTGATGAGGGTCGCCCCGCAGAAGAGCCGGGTGAGGTAGAAGAGGCCAGCCTGCCAAGGCTGTGAGTTGGGGTGACATTCCTGCGCCCCGATGGCGCGTGTGTCTGCCCAGCAGTGCCCTGGGGTGGGGTGAGAGGCAACTGGGTGAGCAAGGAACAGGCTGGGAGGGCCGGGAGAGGGTGCTCAGCAGCCCAGAGGACAGGGGGCAGAAGCCCAGGACAGGGGCAAGAGCCAGAGGGATGGGCAGGGGAGCCATGGAGCCTCACCTGCCAGGAGAGAGAGCAGAACACAGATGAATCCCAGCTTCATGGCCTCTGGGCGCTTAGGTCCTCCAGCGTGCTGGGCGCTTCTTTATGGTAAGCCATGCCATCTCCTTCCTCCTCCCTGTGGCCACCCCCATGATTAATCAGAGTTGGGAAATATCCCTGGGGGAGGGGGAAGTCCTGGAGCTGTGACAGGGGCCTTGGGAGGGGAGGTGGGTACCGGGGTCCCCCTGTCCAGATAAGCTGGCGACTTGCTAGGCCAGAGCTTGCTTGAGTGAGTGGGGGTGGGGTGCTGGGGTGTGGAGAGCCTGTGGGCACCGCCTCTGGGGTCTTCAGAGTGGGGAGCCCCTGTTCCCCATGACCTCGGGCTCCAGGATACAGAATCTTTTGTGTCCTGGAGAAGGAGGAAGATGCTTGAAGCGTAAGCTCCTGGGGTGGAAGCAAGTTTATTTTGAATGAAGTGTGCTGGGACCAACCTCCCCGGGTAGGTGTGCAGGTTCCTTGCCCAGAAAGCAGGCTAGGTGCACAGAGAGACCCAGGGTGAGAGGAGGAGGAGGAGGAGAAGACTTGAGAACAACCCAGTTGGAGAGAGGCAGAAACCACAAAGAAAGCCGCACAGGTCTGCACACGGCGCAGACCCTTCCCTGCCCTGGGGATTTGGGCCTCTTCCCACAAGGACAAAGGCTTCTCCTAGAATGTTGAGAAATCTGGTCCCATCCGGATTAACCCACTCCTGTCAAAACCTGCCCCCACAGCCCCACCACCCCAAGGACCCAGGCGCCCAACCTGCCTGGAACCAAGTGCCCTACCATCTCTCTCAACACCTCCCGATCTTTGCCAAATCCTAAGAACACTGGCTATGTTTTTCCCACTCATCCCCGACAACATTGTCCTTCCCATCACCCTGTCCTCCCTGCCTCTCTCTCCACCTCTCCTTCTCACCAGGTAGGCAGCCTCTGGGGGCCCCCCCAGTCTGACTCATCTCTGTGTCCCCAGCATCACCCAGTTCTGGGCTGGGCTCACAGAAGATGTTAATTGAATGAGTGAATGTCTTTCTCCATATCTTTCTTTTCCTGGTGAACTCCTACTCATCCTTCAAGACTCAACTTCAGTGCTCCCTCCCCCAGGAAGCATTCTGTGATTTCTCCAGGCAGAGTCAATCTTCGCCTCTGATGGGCACTCACAACCCCTTCCACTTTCCGCTGACCTCGTCCCGATTATGAAGCTGGGGCTGGGCTCCCCCTCGAATGCTCTGTCACTACGGTGTCGTGACTTGGAACATGGACTCTGGAACTGAACCACCTGTGACCACATCTCCACGCTGGCAGTGACTAGTGTGTGACTTTGGGCAAGTCACCGGATCTGAGTTGCTCCACCTGGTAAGCAGCAGTGATAACCAGGGTTGTGGGGGGATTAAGTGAACGAACACATATGAAGCACTTACAACAGTTTCTAACACGTGGCAAGCACTCGGTAAATATGTCCGTCCATCTCCTACAGGGTCCTGCACTGCCTTCGTCACAGTACACGTCACCCGTGCCTGCAACTCTCTTATTCCTTCTTCAGACCGGCAGGTCCTTGAGCCCGGGGACTGGATACCTGCTATGTGCTAAGTGCCACGCTAACTGCTTTTAAGAACATTTTAATGGCCACCATCACTGACTGTTTTCTCTATGCCTGGAGTTGGGTAAAGCTTTCACGTATATCATCTTATTTAATTCTCATGAATGAAGAGTGGAATTGAAATATTCCTAACACAAAGAAATGAGAAATGCCTGAGATGATGGGTACCTCAATTATTCTGGTTTGATTATTTCACATCATATGCCTGTATCAAAACATCACATGTGCCCTATAAATATATACAACTATTATGTACCCATAATAATTAAAAACAACTTTTTTTGAGACAGTCTTGTTCTGTCACCCCGGGTAGAGTTCAGTGGCTTAGCTCACAGCAACCTCAAACTCCTGGGCTCAAGCAATCCTCCTGCCTCAGCCTCCCGAGTGGCTGGGACTACAGGCATGCGCCACCATGCCCGGCTAATTTTTTCTATATATTTTTAGTTGTCTAGCTAATTTCTTTCTATTTTTTTAGTAGAGGCGGGAGTCTCGCTCTTACTCAGGCTGGTCTCGAACTCCTGAGCTCAAGCAATCCTCCCACCTCGGCCTCCCAGAATGCTAGGATTACAGGCATGAGCCACCTCACCTGGCCCTAAAAATAGAAAATTTTAAAAAAATTATCATGAGAGTCTAATCAAGCAGGTATCTCCATTTCACAGAGTGAAAAGTTGAGGTAGAGGGAACATTGAAGTAATTTCCTCAAGATCACACAGCAAGTGATTGAAATGCATTTCCTTCTCTAGGATAAGTAGGCAAACTCCTACCTATCCTTTATAACTCCATGCAGATGCCCCCGCATGTGAGAAGCCTTCCCTGACCCCTTCAGGCAGAGTCCTTGGGCCTACCATGGTACACCCTGTACCTCTTTCTGTTACAGTGGTGACTCATTTGTGTCACTTGTTCACTCAGCAATGTGTTGGGTGGCTCTGTGTGCCAGGCACTGTAGCAGGTGCTCAGAAAACCACCGTGAACAAATATCTGAATTTTTGCCCTCTTGGACTTTGTGGGGAGAAGGGACACAGACCATTATCAAGTAAGCAGACAAATGAGATAATTCCAGCTCTAGCAAATGCTACGAAAGAAATAAACAGAGCAACAGGATTGGTGACCAAATGGGGACCTCTTTAGCCAGGGCAATCCAGGAAGGCCTCCACGAGGAGGTGACTTTTTGAGCAGGGACCTGAATGACAAGAATGTAAGTCTTGCCTGTCTTCCTGACCTGACTAGCTGCTCCTTGAGGGTAGGGCCTGGTCTGATTCATCTTTAGGACGTGGCTCAATAAACATTGCGGAGTGACTACAGGAACGGGTCAAAGGAATTGCCTTGAAAACTGAATCGAGTTTTCAAGTTCCTACCTACCTTGCTTCTGATCACTGGATGACAAAGCCAGCTGATACACCCAACTGACATTTCCTGGGTGTGCTAATGCAGGTGGAATGTGGAAGAGGCCACTGAAGACTGTGTGTACGAGATTTTGTGCTTGGACCTTGTACACCAATCTTTTGTGGGTCCTGCATGGGCCCATGGTGGTTACCACTATGTATGACCCCTGCACTCGGCACTGGGCCTCGCACACGACAGATGCTCAGTAAGTTGGTGTTCCAAAGGGGAAACAAAAGCAAGCCGTGCTTTATGGGACGTTCCTGTTGCACCTGTGTCCAGCTTAGGTCACTGCTCCAAAGTCCAGGCTAAGCTGAGACACCGCGACACAAACACTCATCAGCTTTGCCTGGATTCTGTGTACAGACCCCGCCACCCTCCCAGGATAGAAATATTTACACAGAGACAATTTCTGGGAGAGGGAAATTACCCTTCCTCCCAAGTTTTCGGGACAAAAATCTCAAAGCCGATTAATAACAAACAAACTAAAGATTCCCCCCACATTTCAGAAGGGGACTTCTTGGCACAAACTCAGCAATTGAGGTGGCAAGAATCCTCCAGCCTTCCCCACCTGCTCAGCCCTCTGATCTTGGAGGCTGGGATGGATGCAAGGTGACTCCCAGTGTCCCCATGATGGCAGAGAAGGTACCAGATGACTCACAGCCTGCTTGGCTCTGCTGGGACAGGAGGGCCTGGTGTTGGGCGCACCCAGAAATAGGAAACAGTGGGAGGGGGGAAGGAAGCGGTGAAAAGGTGTTTCCCGGGGCTTGGGAGGAAGCGGGGGAATGTGTTTCTCCCATCTGCCCAGGTGGACGGACACGAGGGGTGGGATTGAGGGCCACCCCCGCGCACTTCTCTCCTGGACAGAGGCGCATGTGCTGTCACCAAAATGTGGTCAGATCCTGACAACAGGTAACATTTATTCAGAGCTCGCCACCCACTGTTAAGGCTTACGTGATAATTACCGCAAAGATTTACACACACACGTTATATCATAGTCTCATAACACGTCTAAGAGGTAGGCACTTCATTGTCCCCATTTTGCAGATGAGGAAACTGAGGCACAGAGAGGGTACTTGGCTTGCCCAAGGTCACACAGCAGGGAGCTGTAGAGGAAGCCAGGTGGGTGACTCTGATAACATCTCTCAGAGACTAGGTGACCACCGGGTTCCTTGCTTCTCTTGAATGAAACTTTGTCACCGCTTTCTGCACATTGGCTTCAGCGTGGGCAGAGAATGGGAAGGGGGAGGGGAATGAGGGGAGAGGAGAGATGTCAACAGGTGTGGATGGTGGCAGAGGTCCAGGCACTGCAGGGTGGGGAGGAGGACAGGCAGTGAAGGGCTCTCTGGCAGTCTGGATCAGCTGGAGCGGATAGTTCTCCTGATCCAGGTGTTGTATTTGCAGATCTGGGTGTAGACGGCCGGATGCTGGGCAGATCCGCAAGGGTAAACTCCCCATGACAGGATGCCCTGCAGGGTCTTGTCGCAGACCAGGGGGCCGCCTGAGTCGCTCTGGGGGTGGGAGGAAGAAGAGATCAAATACATATGCCAACGTGAGAGCTGCCACTGTGGGGTCTGCGGCAGTGACAGGAAGGGAGGGGTTGGGGTGGGCTCGAATAAGGATGAGGTCGAGGGTGGGGGTGGGAACGGAGAGGCAGTGAGACTGGAGTTCACGCTAGGTGAGCGGCGGGGATGCTTGAGGGTGCGAACGGGGCTGAGGAGGGGGTTGGGCTTGAGGGTGGATTTGGGAAAGGAGTTGGGGGGCAGGGCCAGGGGCCACTCTTTTCCCATAACCTTCCTGCCTTCCCTCCATGAGTCAGAGCCCTTCCCTGCCAGACCCTACCTGGCAAGGGTCCTGGCCCTGGTCCAGTCCGGCACATATCATGTTGTTGGTGACCACACCGGGGTAGAAGACCTCACATTCTTTAGGGCTCAGGACAGTGACCCTGGAGCAGGTCAGGCCCCTGTTGTACTTCACTGATGGGAGAAAATGCCAGGTAATCCCTGGGTCCAGCCCCCAATCCTTTGGGACTCAGCAGTCCAGATACAAGACTGTTCTTATCCAGGTCTGGGCCCCCAGTCCCTCCTCCCCCAGCCCCTCCTCCCCCAGCCCCTCCTCCCCCAGCCCCAGGGGTTCAGGCCTCCAGCCTGACTCCTCCTGAGATACAGGATTCAGGGCCCCCAGCTCTTGCCTCTTCGGGTGGCCGTGGTACCCCAGCCAGCCACCTGGCACTGGTCTCTGGGCTGGGCACAGCGGTAGGGCAGCTGCAGGGTCTGGACGCCGGGCCCCAGCACAGCGGACCTGGCCAGCTTCAGCAGCATGAGGTCGTGCTCGTCTGTTCGCCCTGGCAGGATGGGGCCCGAGCCCTGGCGGTACTTGGGGTGGATAACGGCGTGAACGGCCCGGCGCAGCTGCTCGCCCTGGAGAAGCAGCAGGTGGTCATCCCCAACTCGAGCCCACAGTGGCCTGTGGGAGGGAAGAGCCACATGGGAGTAAAACCGTCATAGGGACTGGGCCTGGACTCTGAGTCCGTGGGAGGAGAGTACAGGCAGTGGGTTGGGACAGACACCTAGGTCCTGAGATAGGAAGGGTCTGAGGGAAGAGGGGGTTGGAGGAGAAGGGAACTGCGGGTCTGGATTCCTGGACACCGGGAGGAGGAATCGGGTGTCTGAGCTCCTGGGTTCTGAAGGAATTGAGGGCTGGGGACCTGGACTCCTGGGTGAATCTACCTTATGTTTTCTCTGTGATGACATCCAGCCCTTCTTCCTTCAATGGGGGCTCCTAAGGTGAACTTTTTCCTTTAGTTCTAAATTCCTGACCACACCAGACCCTGACTTCTGTCTGTTGCATACAACTAGCGATTCCTCAATAGAACCCTTGGAGAATCAGCCGACAGCAGTGACGGGCCCAGGAATGAAATACTGGGAAGGACCACACCGCCCCCTGGCGGCCACAGCACAAAGCCCCGTCTCTCCTCCTACAGGAAGCCCTCCAGGGCTGACCCCATCTGGAGCTGCGAGCGTTCCCAGGGCCCCAGCCCTCCCCGCAGGCTGCCTCCTCAGCCCCTTCCGCGGATTCCTCGAGGACGGCTTCCTACTTGTTGTTCCAGCAGTGCGCGGCCGTAAGCACCCAGTTCTGGTCCACCAGGACGCCCGCGCAGTGGAACGAGAGGCCATTGAAGAGGGAGACCTGCCAGGGCTGTGAGCCGCGCGCGCACGGGGCGCCGGAGGGTGCGGGGTCCGAGCCGGTGTCGTTTCCAGGGAGCGGCACCTCCTCCGCGGCTGGACAGAGAAAGAGGGGCAGGGGTCAGAGCACGCAGGGCGAGGGCTGGGTCTGGGGTCGGAGCTGGGCCGCGGGCGCAGCCAGAACCGGAGGGTGGGAGGGGGGCGCTGGGGGTCCCGCGCGGACCGAATGGAAGTGGGAGGGGAACGGCGGGAAAGTGAAAGGAGGCGGCGATCGGGCGCGGTGGGGTCGGGAGGCGGAACAGGGCGCGGATGAGACGCAGGTTTGGGGAGAAGAGTGGGTGGGAACCACAAAACGGGATGGAAAAGGGGCGAGGGCGAAAAGCCCTAAGGCGGGACTTGGGATACAACTGCGCAGAGTGGGCAGGGGCGGGGCCGGAATGGTGCGGAGGAAGGAGGGGCGAGGAGCAGAGGGCAGAGCGGTCCTGGTGGCACGGAGAGGATGGGCCAGAGTGGGGCGGGACACCCAGGGGCTGCGCCGGAAGAGCAGTTCAGCTGACTGGGCGGCGGGCCCCGCTCCAGGTCGCCGAGTGGGCGCTGGCGAGGAGGAGAAGTGCGCGGAGGTTGGTGATCAGAGCGCGCTCTCCTGCCGGCGCCTGCCGCCGCCCTTGTCCCCCGCCTCACCGCAGAGTTGCGCCATCAGCAGCGGCAGCAGCAGCTTCGCCAGGGCCCAAGCGCCAGAGGCAGCGGAGAGGCGGCGGTGCGGGGGTCTCATGGCCAGGACCTGGGCTGGGGGGCAGGCGGCGGGTTAAAACGGACGCCCTGTCAGAGACCCCCACTTCTCCGTGCCCACCTGCCCAGCCTGGGCCACCCTAGCCCTCCGGGACCCGTTTGACCTGCAGAGGCGGCAGACGGATGCTTTGGGCTGGAACAGCGGTAATGAGCGCAATTACCCTAATGACGCCCCTCGGGGCATCCTCCCATCCTCCCGACGCCTCTCGGGCCCCGGCTCCCCGCGGCCCGCCACGCCAAGCGCGGGGGCTCACCCTCCTTCGCACGTGGAGTAGGGATCCGAGGCTCAAAGCCAGTGGGAGCCTCTTCCAAACCCTCACAGCCGGGGGACTTCCACATCCCGCAGGTAGGGAAATCGAGGCTCAAAGAGGGCCCCACCCATCCTCTCGCAATCCACCCAACCAGGGTGGGGTGCACCCCGCTTCACCTGGGAGTCTCCGATCGGAAGGAGGGAGGGGACCCAGATGTGCCTCTGCCCTGCCGTGTGGGCCGCCAGAATCCTCTGCCGGGGGACCCCAGGCCGGACCTTCCCTTTTAACCCCGAAGAAGCGTCCCCACCCTGTCCCCAGGGACTCACTCCCTCCCTTTCCCTCTGCCTAATTATGCTGTGGGCGGGGCTGGCACCTGACCCGGGTCCCAGATTCCTGCTTTGGGTTCGTGTCTGGCCGTTTGCTTCTTTTTGTGTTTGTGTCTGTCTTTTGGTCGGTGTCTTTCGTGGGGCTGGTCCGGGTGCCTGGTTGTTCGAGGCCTTCTTTGGTTGTGAGTGCGTGTCCGTTGTCTCGGGGGCTCCTGTTGGCTGTTGGGCGTTCGGTTTTTGTTCTGTTGTTGGTGTGGGTGTGCATTTCCGGTTTGTTTCCTGTTCGTGTGTCGCGAGGAGAATCGCCTATTGTGGCGGCGGGCCGAGGCTGCCTGGGGCTGCGGTAGCTTGTGTGGGCGTCTGGGACTTGTTGTTGGAGGGAGGGCGGCTGGGGTTGTGGGCGGCGTCTGGCTCGGCCCAGGGTTTTTGAGGCAGGGGGAGAGGGTTGTGTGGAGGGCGTCTCCGGGGGCAGGAATCTGGGACCCGGGTCAGGTGCCAGCCCCGCCCACAGCATAATTAGGCAGAGGGAAAGGGAGGGAGTGAGTCCCTGGGGACAGGGTGGGGACGCTTCTTGGGGTTAAAAGGGAAGGTCGGCCAGGGGTCCCCGGGCAGAGGCACCCGCTGCTCTGTGGCTGGAGCCCAGCCCGCGGCTGTAGCAGGGGGCTCCGCGTGTCCTGGCGACCGGCCCTCGAGCATGTCGGGGGCTGTCGCCCTGCGTCATACCCACGTGTAGCCATCTCACGCCCTCCTTGCCATCTGCCTGTCCCCGGGCGACAGGGGCCCATGAATCACAGGAGGCCACGGCTGCAAGGGGCATTGACTTCACCTCCACCAACTCCCTCATTTTAGGTGAAGAAGGGGAGGCTCAGAGAAGGAAGTGACTCATAGGAAGTCACACAACAAGTCCGCCTAAAAACTGGGAGCTCCAGCTCTGGGCTCTTAGGCTCTTACTCCTCATTCCGATACTTCCCCCTGCAAGGTGAGTAGGACGTCAGAAAAGATCCTGGGTTCTGGACTATTTGAGGGGCATCTATTTTAGAGGTTGTCTAGCTCCGTGCTGTCCAATCGAACTTTCTGCAAAGGTGGGTATGTTCTACATGCGCTATCTAATACAGCAGCCCCCAGCCACATGTGGCTACCCAGTGTTCGAAATGTCGCAAGTCAGACATTCCTGATTTCATGTAATTTTAATTTAAACAGCCACTTGTGGCTAGTGGCTGCTATATTAGCCAACACAGGTCTCCATTAACTAATTAATGGAGGTTAGAAAAAAAAGATAGCTCCCGTTTGTTAGGTTTTAGTATGTGCAGGCTGATTTATTTACTTACTGTACTGTCATACTTTTGCACAATTTTACAGATAATAAAACTAACTTAGCCTTAATCAGGGCAGTATCACTTGGTAGTTGAGACATCACCTTGCATCAAATCCCTGCTCTTCTACTTACTGACTGTGTGACCATGAGCAAGTGATTTCATTTCTCTTTGCCTCAGTTTCCTCATCTATAAAATGGGTACAATCATAGTACGGACCCCATAGGGTTTTGTGAGGATTAAGTGAGTTGATAGATTTAAAAGCCCTTGGACCAGGGTCTGGCACAGAGTAAACACTCAGCAGATGCGTTCATTCTGTAGATATTTATTAATGCATGCCAGGAACTATCTTTGGGGCTGGGGATGTGACAGAACAAAACAGCTATGGTCATTCCCAGAGTCACAAGTTAGTCCAAGGCAGGATTTGAATCCAGGTCTCAACGATTTCAAGCCCCGAGTTGATTATGAAGCTGCAGCATCGCCTGTAGTCAAGGCGGCCCAAAGAAAGTTCGTAAAAGGGTCCTGGCTTAGGGTTTCTTCTTAGCAGAATCAGCAGGAACCAATCACCAGCTTGAGCAGGCTGAGCCCTGGCGTGCAGGTCCTATCTAATTATTCTTCATAGTCTCCTGGATCCAGTCCACATATTTGCAGACTTTTGTGTAGACACCGGGCTTTTTGGTGACAGCACATGGATCCTGGCCCCAGGAGATAATTCCTTGAAGAGAATCGTTACAGACCAGAGGGCCCCCGGAGTCGCCCTGGGCATGGGGAAAGAGAACATCGGTCAGAGCGAAGGGCGGGGAGGAGGTGGGAATGGGTCGGGGGTGAGACTGTGGATGTCGATGAAGATGTAATGGCGGTTGGAGATGGGGTGGGGGTGTGGCCGGGGACCCAGGCCCTGCCCTCTGACCTGGCAGGAGTCCTTGCCCTCTTCCTTAACGCTGGCACACACCATGGTGTCTGTGATGTTGCCGGGGTAGGCGTCCTCGCACTCCCTGTGCTCGATGATGGAGATTTTGGCACATCGCAGGGTGTGGGGCAGGTGCACTGTGGAGGCAGCAGGAGGGGCTGTGAGGAGTGACGCCCCTGGGCCCTCCCCCTGCTGCAGCGCTTGCCGTGACCGAGCACCGGGGAGCATCCCTGGCCTTACTGCGGCCAACTCATCCCTCTGCTTGTCACAATAGCAACAGTAGTGTTGTCCGGTAAATTCTTCATGGCGGCTGCTCTAAATACATTGTCTCTAATCCAGCCCTGGTAGGTGGGTGTGATTACCCTCATTTTACAGAGACGAGAACTAAGGTTCAGAGAGGTGAAGCCACTTGCCTGGGGTCCTACAACCAACAAGTCGCGGATCTGGGATTGCCCATCCCGTCTGTCTCCATCCTCCCCGCCCTGACTTTTCCCACTCTTCCTTGCAACTTACGCCACCCTGACACCCCCAGGTAGCCTGCTCTTGTATCACTATGAACCTCATCTCTGAAGGTCCCTCCAGTCCCATGTCCTTCCGCTGTCATGGCCACCCCTCCCCCCTTCCCACCCGAGTTCCCCTCTGGAGCCCCTACACTGGGGGCTGGACGTGGTGCCCCAGCCAGAAATGAGGCAGCGGGTGCCAGCGGTGACACAGCGTGAGGACAGGGTGAGGGGTCGCACGGCCCAGGTGATGAGGGCTGGTGCTGCCATTTTCACCAGCATGATGTCATTGCGGTGGTCTTTGTTGGGGAGGCTGTTGTTGAAGCCCGGGTGCGGGAAGGACTCAGTGGCTGTCCGGGTCTGCTCACAGCCATCCCGCCGCTGGAGGTTGTGTTCCCCCAGGTGAACTATGTAGTGGCTGAGGTGGAGAGACGGTGGTCAGAGGAGGAAAGGTAGAGAGAGACGTGAGGTGGGGGGGGATGCCGAGTGGGAGAGGTGAATGACACCTTCGAGGACAAAGGACCATGGCTCTGCTTCCAACCTCATCCCCATCTTCCACCAAAGCCCCCTCCCAAGCCGTATCCTCATCCTGGTCCCCAGCTCCATTCCCGACACCTTCCCAGTTCAAACACCCTCTGTCCCTCCACCTGCAGTCCCAACTAGATCCTGTCATTCCCTGCTGGCACTACCTGACCCGCGCTGATCCCACTTCCTCCCCGTCCCCAAGTCCCCCTCCCCCCTCTCTCCACGCCAGCCCCCTCCCAGCCCCGCCCCAGCCCCCGCACCCACGGCTTGCGGCAGTGGGCTGCTGTCAGGAGCCAGCTGGGGGCGATGAGGGTGGCCCCGCAGAGCAGCCGAGTCTTCTGGAACAGGGCCGCCTGCCAGGGCTGGGAATGCGGCTTGCACTCATACCCCTTGATGATCCTGGTCTCTCCCCGGACGTGCCCTGCAGGGGGTGGGGGCAAAGGAAGGGGCTCAGGAAGGAGAGGAGGTGGGCCAGCGGGACTCCTAGAAATGAGGGCTGAAGGGGTCTGGGCCCCAGCCTGGCGTCCTGCCAGGATGCACCGTGTGGATGGAAAGACCCCACTCTGGCTGGTTAGTAGCCACTGTCCTGAGCTCTCTGTGCGACTCCACCCCTGGGACCCCCGAGACCCCGCCCCCTCCTGGCATCTAAAGGGGCACCCAGCACATTGTTAGGCTGCTGCCCGTTCAGATGCTGTGTGGGTGGTGCTGTGTTTTGAATGTCAGTCCCGTCCATTTCCAGACACAGAGGGTTTGGGGGGGTCCTGGAGATTCGAGAGGGAAGCCCTTGCACCCCCCACACCCCCCCCTCCACTGTACCTGTCACCAGAGCAAGCGTGATTAATCGCAGAATCGTCATGGCCTGGAGGGGGGAAGAGCAGGCCCCAGGTTCCTCTGGGAACAGGAAGGGACACAGGGCCATATCACTTTCAGCGGAGGCTGGGGGCTGGCTCTAGCTCCCCACTTCCTCCACCCCTGGCAGCTCTCCCAGGGAGAAACAAGGTTTGGGCAATGCCCTGGTTCTCACAGCATCCCAGCCTCCTTGCAAACACTTAAAATAAGTCTCTGGTGTGGCCTTGGAGAGGCCTGGTGGCCAGAGCTGCCAGTGTGGAGGAGGACGTGGAAGACGCTGGGAGGGGCTTTGACGGGGCACGCAGTGCGCTGGCCGCAGTTAAGTCAGCCGCGGGAGCTCCTAGGCACGGTTTGGAGAATGTTTTCCTTCTTGCCCACCTGAGACCTGGCTAGGCCCCAGCAGCTTGGGGTGGCGGGACGAGGGGAGCTGGGCCCCGCTGGTAACCGCCCCATGCTCATTGTCCCAGCAGCAGGGCAACGGGGAGACTTTGAGGTCTGCCCAGGGCGAAGTAGGGACTTAGAAGGACAGCTGGACAGCGCTGGACGGAGCTGGGCGGGGCTGGCCAGGGGGAGGGCCGGTGCCCTCAGCTGCCCTGGCCGGCGGGGGTGGGAGCAGAGGGCTGGCTCAGTGGCTCGAAGCTGGGGTCAGAAGCCACTGAGGTTGGGGGCAGCCAGTCGGAGGTGAGCGACGCAGAGACAGGCAGAGAGCCCCCACCCAAGCGGAGAAGGACAGAGCAGAGGGAGAAACAGGTGCTGAGGCGGAGGAGGACCGACGTCCTCGGGGAGGGCAGACGCCTGGAGGGGGGCCTTCCCGTCCCCCCCGGACTCACGGGCTCTGGGGCTGGGGCTCTGGGGGCCGGCGGCACGGTGGCGGCGGCAGGCTGGGTTGAAGCGAGAGGCGGCAGGCAGGCGGGCAGGCTGGGGGCTGGCCACGGGCGGGCCGGGATGGCTGGACTCCAAGCCCTGCCTTATCGCCCTGGGGGCGGGGTGTGTGTGGGGGCCCTCCCTGCCGGCCGCCCGCCTGCGTCACCTGTCCAAGCCCCTCTTCTGTCTGTGCCTTCATATCCGTCTGTCCGCCTGCAGCTTTCCCTTCCTGCCCGTCTCTCTGAATCCGTGTTTCTTTTTCTCTGTCATTCTCTGTGTTTCTGTAATTCCGTGTGTGTGTGTGATTTTTCTCTTTCTCTGTTTCCGTCCCTCTGTCTGTCCAGCTTTCTGTATCTCTGTCTCTTTCTCCACTTGCGCTCTTCCGTCTCCGTGCGCGCCCCCTTCCTAATTCCTATCTTATGTCTCTGCGGCTCTCAGTCTCTCTCACTCCATCTCTGTCTTGCAGTCTGTCCCCAAATCCTCTCCTTCCATCTACTCACAGTCTCTGTCCTCCTGTCCCCGCCCCTCCCTCCCCACGGCCTCAGCCTAGGTGGGCCCCGGCCTCCCCCGGCCCCTCCCTGCTCCTTTCGGAGCACTGGGGCTGGAGCGCGCAGAGGAGGGGCGGGACAGGAGGGTGGGGAGGCAGGTCAGGGCCTGTGGCGCTGAGACCGGGAAAGAGAAAGGAACCTGGTGCTGCGTCCTCCCCCAGGGCTTCTCAGGGGCCTCACTTCCCTGCTGACCCTACCTTCCGCCCCCTCTCCACCTACCAGGCTGTCCAAATCCAGCTGTGGCACTTACTCGCTGCTGTGTGACCCGGACCCAATGACGTCCAGTCCCTCGGCCACCTCAACTGTCTCTTCTGCAAACCCCGAGTGCGGTGCGGCTCCCACTTCTCCTGGCTTGTTTGTTTTCAGTTAGATCCCTCTGCCTTTCTCTCTCCTAACCAGATGTGGAGCAAGGCAGGGCAGGGCCTAGGTTCTGACAGCAGCCAGTCCTGGCCTCAAACCCCTGTTCTTCCTCTTCCTACCACTGTGACTACCATTATGACGTGGGACGAGGGACTCCACCCCTGTGAGGCTCAGTTTCTTCATCTGAGAGATGGGGTGACAACCCTGCTTTGCGGTGAGGTTGGAATAAGGCCTCCAAGAGGGCTCAGCAAATGTCCCTACTGCTGCTATGATCACCCCTCCCTCCCACTGTCAGCTCCCCCGTGCATTTGGGGAGACACAGTGAGGACAGACCCCAAGGGGTGGGCAGGACCATTTTAAGGCCGAGGCTGTGTCCTCTTGCTTTCCAAGGCTGCACCCCATCCTCAGTCATTGCAGACATATTAAAACACAGTCACCTCCCACATTAAATATAATGTATGCTCACTACAGGAGAATCGAGCTGCAATTGACTAGTGGAAGGAATGTTATGTTTTATAGACATTTAATTAAGTGGTCAGGAATGTTGATTTTGCAGTTTTCATTTGGTATTCTGGAGCTTACAATTTTCATTTTCCCCCTTCAGGTTCTTCAAGGACCCTTGAAAAGATTATAAGTGCTGGGCACTGTTCCTATTATGCCAGATGGAGAAAAATGGCCCTGATTTTTATTGCTATAAGTAACTTTTTCTACTCTGTTTCTTCCAAGGGAAGACTCTCACCCTCTCTGAGTTCTGTCTTTCCACCTGTAAGGTAGGGGAACCCAGTGAGCCCTTCCTCCAGTCTCAACCAGCATGAGGACATCAAATAAACAAATAGCCCCTCCTTCAGTTATATTACATTTATTCCAGACAGTTGCACACTCCTCCTGCCCCAGTCATGGGTCTTAGAAGGGCTCGCAGGAGTTGGAGTTTCAAGAAGTTCCCAAGACCAACAAGAGTGGGAGCTGGGGGTGGTGGTGGAGGAGGTGTTGGTGCTCTGAGGGTTAGAGTGGCCCCCAAGTTGAGGGGTGGAGGTGGAGGGAACAAGTCAGTTGTTCCTGATGACCATCTGGATCCAGTCCGTATACTTGCAAACTTTGGTGTAGACTCCTGGGATGCCCTTTTGTCCACAAGGCCCCACAGAGCCCCAGGACACCAGACCCTGAAGGACTCCCCCACACACTAGGGGACCCCCAGAGTCACCCTGGAAGGGAGAGGAGAAGCAGCATTGTCTGAATAAGGGAGAAATCTTGTCCCCATTTTCTTCCCCAACCCCATTCCTGGGCTTTGGAGGACAATGGCTCCAAGCCTGGTCATCAGAGAAAAGAACACAGCCAGGTTCCTGGAGGACAATGGCAATGGCTAACCAATAGAGAAGAGGCACTGTCCCCAGGGGCCAATCCCAGAGGAGGAGGGCGGGGCTTCATAGAGGGTAGAGAGGTCTCTTAGGAACAGTGGCTGGGGCTCTGACCAATGAGGGGAAAGAGCATCATCATCAATGACCAATCCCAGGGGAGGAGGGCGTGACTCCATAAAGGGTAGTGAGTCCTCTCGCAGGGGGCCAGCTGGGTAGACCAGCCTCCTCTCTGGGGCACCCAAAGGGGCAAGGACGCAGAATCAGAGGGTGAGCGGGTTCCCTGCCTCCCTGTCCTGACTCCATCCTCAAATCTCTCTCTCGAGCTGGGGCAGCACTTGCTGGAGGCTGGTGTGGAAAAGGCTTAGAGCCCCAGAGACAGTTGCAGCCTGTCTCAGCCAGTTCTTGCCCTCCCGCCTCCCTCTCTTTGTGCCCCCTGCGCATCTCTCCTCTGCTCCCGCCCTCCCTCTATCTTCTCTGCTCCTCCTTCTCCATTTTCTGGTCCTCCCTCCTATTCTCTGCCTCTGTCTCTGTCTTCCTTGTTTTGTGTCGCTCTCCTTTTGGGCCCCATCTCTCTCCCCCATGCTCTCTCCCTGAGTCCCTGTCTCCCATCAGTCACCCTCCTGCGTCAGTCTCCCCCCCTCCCTTCCTGTCCTGGGTGACAGGCTCACCTGGCAGGCATCCTGCCCAGCGATGCCGCCCGCACACAGCATGTTGTCTGTGATTCTCCCGGGGTACACGGCACGGCAGGCGTCTTCGGAGACGATGGGGAGGTCAAGGCACTGGAGCCGGTCTGGGAATGGGTCTGGGGATGGAAGATGGATGCTACAGGGTCCCCCAAAGCTCCCCACTTTGAAGCCACATCCCTCCCCCCAGGGAAGCCCAATCCAAGTCAATATCCCTGCCCCCCCACCAACCTGTGCTATAATCTTAAACCTCTACATTTCCAATTTATAACTCAATTTCATAGTGACTCGTCACCCCAGGTCATTGTTCCAGTCTCTTTTACATTTGACTTTGGCATAACTCAAGACCATCCTTGCCCTTTAACCTCGGATATAATGAATCCAGACCTGACCTTCTTCCTCAGTCCCAGATGCTGTGACCTTTGAACTTCAATCTTATTACCTTATCCCAGCTTGACCTCAAGTCTTCTCTCTGCCTCCTGACCCCATGACCTTGTCTTCCCCTTAACCCCCAACCTTAGCTCTGCATCCTCTAAATCTTCACTTCATTGGCTCCAACTCCAGACTGTCCTCTGATCCTAGTTTATTTGACCCCAAACCTCTGGCCCCAAACCCTGTGACTCCCAATCTGAGATATGTGATATCTGAGTTCTGATAGAATCCCGATTTCCATCCTCAGATTCTGACCAGATTGTGCGACGTCTGGGTCTCATGACTTCAGCCCGACAGTGACCTCTAACCCCAGCCCATGCCCAGACGACCCAGATCCTATTAATATATGCCTTTTGCTCTGGTATGATGACCCTGAAACACTCTGACCTCCAACTGCATCTCTGACCTCTGACCCCTGACTCCATAGGCAATCCTTTAACCCCTTTGATTCCCAAGACCCTGATCCACCTTGATCTCTGACCCCAAGCCACGATCCTGATGTTTGACCTCGCACCCTGACCCCTTGCCCATCCTTCCTCTGGGGTGTCGTGATCCAGGCCTCTCACCCTACAACCCCGGCTTTTATCCACCCTGGCCCCTGACCCTGGGGCCCCTTACTCCATGGATGGTTGGTGGTGCCCCAGCCCGAGATGTGGCACTCGGTGCCGGCAGTCACACAAGTACTGGGTAAGGGCAAGGTCTGGACGCCTCTGGTGACGCGGGCGGGCGTGCCCAGGCGCAGAAGCCGGAGGTCGTGCTCGTGGCTCTTCAGGGATCCCTGGTAGCCGGGGTGGGTCACGGAGAAGCCGCTGCGCCGGATCTGCTCCGTCCAGTCCAGCTGGCTGAGGCTGTGCTCCCCCAGGCGCACCCAGTACCTGCTGGCGGTGGCAGCGGCTCAGCGGCAGGCGGGTGGCCCTCCCACCGGCCCGACCACAGGCAGTCCCAGGCCCCCTGCTTCTCTCTGCAGCAAACTGTCCCCTATGTCTCTCCCTTCCAGGCCTTTGGTCTCTGTTCATTTCCAGCGTCCACCTCGTTTCCTCTCACGCCACTGCCTCTGTGTCTCCTTCTGAGCCTCTTGGATGGTGAGGCCCACGGAGACGGGGACATCTGTGTCTTGTTCACCGCCTTAATCCCAGCACCCGGCGCGGAGCACGTGTCGTGTCGTCAGTGCCGCTGGCGAAGTGGACGAGTGGATGAGGCCCGGCCTCTCTTCCTCCTGCTGCTGCCTCCCCTCCCCGCCCCCGTCTCTTTGCGTCTGAGCTCCCCTTGCACAAAAAGCGTCAGAGCATCAGCCCCAGCAAGTCCAACCTCTCGTTTTACAAACGGCACCTCTGAGGCCCAGAGAGGTGTCAGCAGGCGCAGTCTCTGAGGCTGCAAAAAGAGCTTAGGTCAGACATAGGCCAAGGGCTCGGTCTGGGTCAGGGAATAGCAGGGGCTAGGGGCAGATGTCATTTAGGAAAGAAGGGGACATGCAGGAAGGGAAGGGACAGGTGGCAGTTTCCAGGACCCTCTCTAGTCCTCTGTCCACCACACTTTACCTCACCCAGCCCCACCTAGGCTCACTGCTGAGGAAGTTCTACTCCTTGTCTAACCTCAGACTCTCATGTTGCAGAGCCAGCTTCTTACCCCTTGGCGCTCTCCCCCACCCCTGTGAGCCCACTCCCAGCACTCACTTTCCCATAACTCCCCCTTCGCCCACCCTAGGAAGGGACTCAGACTGGGGCTTACCTGCCGCTGCAGTGGGCAGCTGTGAGGACCCACCTGCGGTCAATGAGGACACCCCCACAGCGCAGGTGGGTACCCTCAAACAGCCCCACCTGCCAAGGCTGTGAGTTACGCTGACACTCAGTGCCATTCAGAATCTTCAATGTGGCTGCCTCGTTGAGCCCTGGCGACAGGAACGTGGGTCAGAGAGAGGAAGGGAGATGCAGAGATGGAGAGACACAGAAAGAGAGAGGAAGGTGGGGGTGCGGGGAGAGAGAGAGACTGACTCAGCGATAGAAAGAGACAGTGAAACGCCAAAGAGACACAAAGAGAGAGATGCTTAGAGGAAGGAAATACAGAGGAGATCAAAAGTTGTAGGAGCTAGAGGTAAGCAGCGCCCCAAGAGCTTGGGGTAAATGAAGGCACAGAGCAAGCCCTTCCCCTCCTCAACCAGGCTGGGGGCCGGGGCTGAGAAAAGGAGCTGGGGGACCCAGCCCCATCCTGCCCCAGGAGAACTCACCAAGAACACACAGGAGCAAAAAGATGCTGGTGCTCATGGCAGGCCACCTCCAAGGTCTGGGGGAAGAGGTGGGGAATCTCAGAGATCACCCTTTTCCCGAGGCCCTCACCCCTGCCCTCCCTTCCTCTCTTGGAAGATCACTGAGGGTGTGACCTGCTCACCCCCTCTCTACCTGTCCCCACAGGTCACCCCCTCATTGGCGACCACCTGCCCGTCTCTCACCTGTCTCTTTGTCTGCGGGATCCTCTATGTGCTGTCACCGGTTCAGCCTGTCTCTCTCTCTGCTATCTCTCTGTCCACCTACCTGCCTGCCCTTTCATCTGCCAGCTACCCTGCCAGCCAGCTCTCCCACTCTCCACCTGGATCCTCAGCCGCTTGTCATGTTGCCCAACCTGTCCCCTTCCTTCCGTGTGTCACCCCAGACCAGCCACTATAAAAGCTTTTAACTCTCCTTGTCTCAGCCCATCCAATTTCTTGGATGAAGGAAGGGGATGAGGAAGACAGGGGTGGGGCGTCCTCTAATTTGGCAGAAACTCTTCTCAGCTAATGACATATAATTGAGCTTTACAGCTAAATGGAGAGAAAAGGAAGGAAAGGACCCAGGGTGGGAAGATCCAACCCCACTCCCTCTCTTATCCCCAAACCCGCCAGCAGCCCCAGGACAGATGACTCAAGGTG